ATTTAACTGTAAAGTCAGAATAACTACTAAATAAAAGTCTTATTATCATTATGTAGTCAGAGACGACATAAAATAGCTGACATACGCACATCGTATTATTTTAAGTTGCAATTAGTAATTAGATATACGCATTCCAAGCGGTCAATATTTTCTACTGATTTATATGATTCATGGCATATCGTATTCTCACCGAAAAACAAATAAACTGTCGTTACTATAATTAAAATAAGATAAAATAAAATTATCTTTTGTAAATACTATTTATCTAATTAAAATCATTTTCCCTACTTTTCATCTCTTGTTTCGAATGGGCACTTTTGGTCAATTACGTTAAAAAACATTAATTTAATTCATGTTTGTGGAAACGAAAATACAAATTATACAAACCTAAATTGTGCTTGTGTGTGTCGTGGCAACGCCGTGTTGCTATCGTCCATAAGAAATACATGGCCCTATCTTCGCAATGTTATTTTCTAAACGTGAAACGTAGTATAGGGCCCTTGTGAAGAAAGTAATAAACTATTCTTCAGAAAGCCATTAAGACATTGGATCTCATTATGATTTAACTTTTCAATACCTTAAATTAGACTTTAACATAGAACATTTTTTATAAAATTTAGATGATGCTATACCGGGTGGTCCAATAAGCTGATCTCTCGGCTATATATCAGAAACTATTCAGGTTAAAACTTTAGGAGAAAAAATTCCTTAGTAAAAGTGGCCAAGAGAAATCGCTGGAAATAACTTTCAAGATTCTGGATTAACCGCTAGGGGGCGTAACCTGCGAAGAAAATTTTGAAAACCAGTTTTTTGGGAAATATGTCCAATTATACCAAGTGTTAAATAAGTAAACTAGAAAGAGGCATAATTCTGCACAAAGTTGTTCAAGTACTTTTTTTATTTTTTCAAATAAAGGGTGGGGGTGAGTGGGAAAGTATTTGTGGATAAATACCGATAATTTTGGTTTGGATCAACCGATTTTAATGAAATTAGTGTCATTAGAAAGAGTGTAGATGAATTAATTCATATCTACTACAAAATACTTGCATTTAGTTTTAATAGTAGTAGGTAGAGGGGACTTTCAAATAAAAAAAAATTAAAATTTGTTTTTCTTCAAAATTTTTAATGGAAACACCTATTTGTTGTAAATTATAATGGAATTGGATTAAATTCGTAATAAAATGGAGCAAAACGCATGTTAATGGCTTTTGTTGAACTCGAGATATGAATAAAAACTCATAAACATAAGTAAGTATAGTATTGACACACCCTGTATTATAAATTACATTAAAAAATAAGTCAGTAGGTATTTTCAAATTTTTTTATAGCAGAAGAATCTTAATGTTGATATTTTGTAAAAAATACTTTTTTCGAAACTAAGTAGGCTACGACAATGAATTTGACGGGGAGTTCATATTGTTTATTTATTGACAGCAGTCAAAACATTGTTAAGAAGTGCTATATTATAATTCGAATTAAAGATTGCACTTTTTCAATAGATATTAATATTGGTAATATTAGTAATTAATTTTATCAGTACAAATAATTCGTGATAAGTATATCAAATTGTATGATATGATTGGAGTTTATTTCGAATGTCACCAAAATACCGCTATTGCCTCACGTATATATTTTGTAATATATCCTAGCAGGAGACATAAAGGCAAAAAGATTAAGAGAAACTGGTAGTTTTTCTCGTCCTTGTTTTAAACGACGTAGTAGAGTTATGACCGAAGATAATTCAATCAATGTTTCAACAGAATCCACATATAAGTAGTCCGAAATCTCTTTTGCCACAATGTCTCCTGCCAGAATATCTTACAGAATATATACGTGAGGCAATAGCGCCATTTTGGTGATATTCGAAATAAACTCCAATCATATCATACAATTTGATATACTTATCACGAATTATTAGTAGTGATATTTAATTACTAATATTACCAATATTAATATCTATTAAAAAGAATGCAATTTTCAATTCGAATTATAATACATATAACACTTCTTAACAATATTTTGACTGCTGTCGATAAATAAACAATATGAACTCCCTGTCAAATTCATTGTCGTAGCCTACTTAGTTTCGAAAAAACAATTTTTAATCATATGAAATAACAATGGTCAAAATAGGTATCAACATTAAGAGTTTTCTGCTATAAAAAATTTTGAAAGTACCTACTGACTTATTTTTTAATTTATTATTTAATACAGGGTGTGTCAATACTATACTTATTTATGTTTATGCGTTTTTATTCATATCTCGAGTTCGATAAAAGCTATTAACATGCGGTTTGCGCCATTTTGTTACGAATTTAATCCAGTTCCATTATAATTTACAATAAATAGGTGTTTCCATTAAAAATTTTAAAGAAAAACAAATTTTAATTTTTTCTATTCGAAAGTACCCTCTACTTACGACAATTAAAACTAAATGCAATTATTTTATAGTAGATGTAAATTAATTCATCCATACTCTTTCTAATGACTTTAATTTTGTTAAAATCGGTTGATCCAAACCATAGTTATAGGTATTTATCCACAAATACTTTCAGACTCTCCCCCACCCTTTATTTGAAAAAAATAAAAAAAAAGTACTTGAACAACTTTGTGCAGAATTTATGCCTCTTTCTAGTTTACTTATTTTACACTTGGTATAATTGGAGATATTTCCCAAAAAACTGGTTTTCAAAATTTTCTTCGCAGATTACGCCAACTAGCGGTTAATCCAGAATCTTGAAAGTTATTTCCAGCGATTTCTCTTGGCCACTTTTACTAAGGAATTTTTTCTCCTAAAGTTATAACATGAATAGTTTCTGATATATAGCCGAGAGATCGGCTTATTGGAACACCCGGTACATAGGATTAGGACATATCAAAGGATAGGATTATTTCAAATTTATACTATAAACAGCGAGAAAAAATACGTGTTAACGAACAGCTATCAGAAGAAATCGAAATTAGATGTGGAGTGAGACAGGGATGCGTATTGTCGCCAATTCTTTTTAATGCCTAGTCCGAAGAGATCCTGAAAAACGCTTTTGAGGATGAAACAGCTGGAATAAAGGTAAATAGAGTTCCCATTAACAACATTAGATATGCAGATGACACTGTGATCTTAGCCAAAAATATTGAAGATCGTCAGAGACTGGTGGCTAGAATAGCAGAGTATGGAAAAGGGTATGGTCAAATCATAACAGAATTCTAACCACCTGTCCTCTGTTTCCATTCTATTCCTTTCTACTATCCAGCTGTTGCACTCTAGCATCGTATGTGTCACAGTGTCCGCGTGTAAACAGTATAGGTATTCATCAGTTCCAGCCTTTCTGAACCTAAAGAGGTAGGCCCTAAAACACACGTATCCTGTGGGCACCTGCGTTAGGAAATAATCCAGTCGCCTGTGGCAACAGTCCACGCAATCTCTTATGTTCGGGATCAGCATCTTCGTCCACTGTGCCACATCCTCCGTGTTGTTCCATTCTTGCCATCTTTCAATTGACCTTTCCCTTTCCTATCATCTCTTGACCATAGTAAGGTTTGGGTCTCTTCTCTCATAGACATTTTTTCTTTCCACCGCCAAAAGTGATGGTCCACAAGGCCGCCGCAGACTCAGACCTGTAGGCGTATGCTACTTGCAACAGACTTGTTCTGTCCATTTGTGTCATGAGCCTCCTATAGGCCGTTATCTCTACCGCCCCGTTCCAGACTGGTACCGCGTAGAGGACGATCGATTGCACAACACCTTGTAAGGCCCTCCTCATTTCGGATTTAGGTTCCTCAATGTTGGACATTACCCTCCTTAACGCAGCCTTCCGGGCTACCTCCCGCACGTGATTCCCACATTTTCCACTCTAGTGCAACGTTACTCCTAGGTACCTAACTTGTTTCTTGGGTGTTAGATATGCCCCCTCACATTGTAGTTCCACACTTTGTCTGTTCCTCTTCCCTTCAGAATGATCGCTTCTTTCAGGTGTGTTACTCGTAATTTATTTTAGTTCCGTATGTAGGTAATGTGTGTCGTATTTCCTATTAAATTTTTCTATTTTTTTGCAATTTTCATCCATCCAGCATTCTTTAGCTTCCTTGATATGCGTTTCTACTAATTTCTTCATTTGCTGGTATTTTGTTTGTATTTCTGTATTTTTGTTTTTCTTTTTTGAGCTTTATATCTGGTGTCATTAAATCTTTTTTGGTACTTGACCCGTTTCTACCCACAAACGTTTCGACATCGTTAAGTACTACCATTCTTCATTTCGTTCCAGATAGTTAATATCGTTTTTGAAGCTTCTGTGAATGCTGGTACAATTGCTTCATTTATTTTTTGTTGACACTTTTCACCCTCAAGCTTTGACAAATCTAGTCTCAATTTTACATTTTTTTCTGTTGTTTTCTCAATTTAATGTTAAGGTTGGCAAGGAGTAAATTGTGGTCAAAGTCTGCATCAGCACTAGGATATGTTTTCACGCTTTTAATTCCATTTCTCAATCCTTTGTTAACGACCATGTAATCCATTTGGTTTCTTATGAGATTTTTTATGTTGTCTCCTGATGCACTTTATGTATAAAGTCTCCTTGATGGTAATTTATAACAGGTGTTTGTGATGACTAGTTCTTTCTCTTGACAATATTGTTATAATCCGTCCCCTCTTTCGTTTCTTATTCCTAGAGCATAAGTCCCTACAATATCTTCCACTTCCCTTTACCGATTTTGGCGTTAAAGTCGCTCATTATTATGTTAACTTCATATTTTTTGACATGCGTGGCGACGAAGAGTAAGGAACAGCGCCCCTTGAAATGAAAAAAGCTGAGGAGGAAGAAGAAGAATAGTTTTCAACTATCCATCCTTCCATTTAGACAGAAAGCTAGCCGCTGAATTATGTATGATCGGAGTAGGATCGAAAGTTAAAAAATATTGCAGCAGTGAATCGGTATTAACAAATCAAAATATCTTAAACAGGATGAACAATTACGTAATACTTAAAATCAAATATAGCTACTTACACATAGTTGGTTCAGTACATCATGTTCAGAAAAACAGTCTATTTCTTTATGAGTATTATTTGCCATAAATTCAAAAAAAAGCTGAAAAATATCTTTATTATCTGAATGGACTGGTTGTAAATCATATGACATATTTATGACAGCTGCATTCCGGTCTGTATTATTGTCGTTTTCATTATCGGTATTGACTGCACTTTGTCCTGAAATGCTACTAATTTCAATAATATTTTCTAAATAATTAATACTTGCATCAAAGTCATGTATATCATCTGGTTTGTCTTTTTTTGAAGAAATAATCGTATTGTTAACACAGTTTCGTTTGATATTATGTTTGAATTTTAATTTCTCAATATTTTTCCTAAGTTCTAACTCAATATCATCGTCCGTTGTACTTTGTTCTGAATAAGTTATAGCTCTTTTTAAATGGGGCAGTTCATATTTTTCGTACTTGAGTTCTTCATTATCACTATAGCCTATTTCTGAGTAGTCAGTGTGGTTATATGAACTGTATTCATTCCACATACGAGTTAGTTCTTCTTTATCGTATTCAGTATTAATATTTCTTTTAGTTTGTTGTTGAATAATATCCTCCATATAATTACTACTGGTATCAATTATACCATGGAGGTTTTCAAGAAGACTGCAATTCGAGCAGCCACGATCCATTTCCTGGCTAAAACTTGTATGACTAGTACTTCTAGTTACTGCATTCTTATTTTCTACCATAGATAAAATCTGTGGTAAGTTAATTGAAGATGACCAAAGAGAGATTTTAATTGGACTTAAACTGCTAGAATCACCCGAAAGTACTCTTGACAGTCTTGTACTTGGGACGAGTTTAACTAAAAAATATAAATTTTGTAAGTATGTTACATTTTTATTATATAGTTAATTCCAACAAAAGAGCTAAAACTATTTTCGAGATAAGGGCAATCGAGGATTGTCGATATAGAGCAACATCTAAAACAAATATATATATATATATATATATATATATATATATATATATTTCAATTAGCAATTAATTCAACCAAGGGATACATGAAGCCGAACAACTAGCCCAGGACAGAGAAGGATGGAGGGAAATCGTGAAAAAACTGTAAAGGTCTGATGGTATTACCACATCCCAAAAGAGATAGAAAGAGATAGAGAAGGACTGAGGAGGAGGATTTGACATGCTTGTATCAACACCATACCAATCTCGCAAGTTCTTCAACTATGAGGTTCTTCTTTGTCCTGGACTGCGTTTGCCTGCTATTTTTCTTTGCATGATATTTTGTAGCAACCTATGTTTGGGACCTTTCATTACATGTCCGAAATATTCCAGCTTTCTCTGCTTAATACTTTTTATGATCTCAGTAGTCTTGCTGAGGCGTTCTAGTACTGTGGAATTTCGAAACTTCTCCACCCAGGAAACTTTTAAAATTCTTCTATAGCACCACATTTCGAAAGGCTCAAAGCGGTTTAGATCGATTTTATTCGCAGTCCAGGACTCGACCCCATAAGGTAAGACCGAGAATACGTAGCAGCGAAGTAGGCGGATCCTCAATGCCAATTTTAGGTCTCTGTTACATAACACCTTGGACATCCTTCTAAAAGCAGCTCTAGCCTGCTCTATCCTAGATCTAATTTCGCCGTGACTTTCTGCGTTACAATTTAATTGCTGTCCAAGGTAAACGATTTTATCAACTTGCTCAAGTTTGGTATTATTTACATATATAGACGGTTTTATATGCTGTTGTTTGCTTATTACGAGTATTTAGTCCAGGTTACCTTGTGTATATTCTTGTGTTCAAAATAGGTGCTAGGGACTGTCATATCGAGTGCTGCTGCTAAGTTTATCAGTCGTAATCCATTATCGCTACTGATGTTGTGTAGGCTATGCTTCCTATCGTGGGCATGAAACTCGTTCTCGTTCTATTCTTGCATTTATGTCACCTAATACAATCTTAATGTCGTTTTTGGGACAGTTCCTGTAGGCTTGATCTATGTCTTCGATGAACTCTTCTTTTATTTCCTCCGGTTTATAATTAGTTGGGGCATGTGCACTAATCAAACTATAACTAAAGAATTTCCCTTTCAAGTGCAAAAAATTCTTTGAGTGTGCTACATTCTTCGAAGAAAACAAGGAAGAAGAAAACTAAATACTGTTTGTCTTATGAAGAACCAAAGTTTGACAAAATATAAAGAACTACTGAATCCCAAACTCTACTCCCATCGACCGAAAAAGCTGTTGGACATACCAAAAGAAAACACCAGGATTGATTCAATAAAAATGATGAGGCTATTCAGAGAGATAGATAACAAACCTAAAATGTACATTGTTTGGCAAGACAACCCAAATTCAGTTGCAAAAACAACACTAGATATGAATGATAGACAAACTAACAGCTGAAAACTAACTGAAGGCCATTTTTTAAGCTACATATGTTCCCACCATTTAAGGTTTAAACTAAAATTAAGAGTTTTAGTAGTTCAACCAAGGGAGATATAATTTCCTACAGCTAATATTAAAGGAAAAAATTAAAGGAAAACGCAGGCGAGAGGGCATCTAAAGAAGAAAGGAGATTAGTAGTTCTCTGCTCCAAGTATAATTACAAATAAATAGTATGAATACCAAAAATATCAAACTTACTTGATCTATGTGTGCATCCATCGTTATCAGGATTTTTCTCACTGACTTGATATGTAAATATTATTGGATTAGTATATTCACAATTGCCTATATTAGCTGTTAAATATTGACTATAACTATCCCTCACATTTAATTCATTTAATCTAGTATTTGAAGTAATACATTCTTTAAAGTAGGATTCACCGGCAAAATATCCTGCGGGTATTTTCTTATGACTTAACGGTTCATTACTAGGAATTAAAAGAAAAAATCCTGATTTTGTAGCTGTTATAATCTTTTCATTAATTCCTTTCTGTATCTTCAAAGTTATTGGTGCTGGTTTAGCTAAGTAGTTGTATCTATGGGTAGAAGTATTATAGGGAATCAATGGTTTTACATGATCGCTAGTTATTGTGTCATAAATTCCAGGACATGCATCTATTTTTGAAGGATAATCTGATGAACAGCTTTCTTTATTTATATTAACATCTAGTTTATTAATATCACAACTGTTGCATAAAATTACATTGTAATCATTTGGCAATGTTCCACTGTCATCATCTGAACTTGATTGAACATATCTTTTTGTGCTTATTTGTACTTTTGATTTTTGTCCATTACTTAGGTCTGTCAATTGACATTTATTGTCAGTAAATTCCTTTTGATCTTTGTGATGTACTGTACGTGGAAAAACGTTTTTTGTAGACACAATTTTTTTCATTGACATAAAGTGTCGACATGCTAAATTGCGCGATGAAGAACGTGATAATTTGTCATTATTTGTTATTTCAGTTCCTTTTTTATTACCAAATTTTATGCTGAAATTTTCCTCGGACCGTTTATTATCTGTATTATGTTTTGAATATTTCTTTTGTCTTTTTTTATAGGAAGAATTTAGTAGTGCTTGCTTGGTTTTTTGATGTTTTTTATCTTTAGTTAGAAATTCATCTTTGGTTGTATTTGCTACTTCTTTTTGCCGATGTTGTTCCTCGTTAAGTTTTGTAGATTCTGTTAAGTCTTCTTTTGCACTCTTGTTTAATTTGTTTTTACCGCAATGTTCTCTTTTTATGTCACATTTGAGATATTTACACCTTTTCTTTTTATTTTTGTTCTGGGTTATTTTTTTCTCTTGACCTTCAATTGAACTGCTTTCTCTCAAATTTAGCTGTTCATTTTTATTGCGCAAACATATATTTTCTATACCGATATTTTCAAGTTTGGTATCATTACTCGTATATATTGGTAATGAAAATAGAGATTTGGCACATTGTCCCTTACATTGTTCTTTTTCTTCTTCTGTACCAACCATTATTTTGTGCGCTAACCATTGTTCGTGCTCATTTGATAATTTATTACAGGTAGACTCTGATTGACCTGTAGATTCCTTCTGATCTAAACTGCTTTCTCTTTTATTACTATATTTATTAATACTTTCAAGTTTATGGGAACGTAATGTCTTATATTTAAAATCGTATTTTTTTAAATCTGGCTCTAACTGATCATGCAATTTATTATTTTTATCTGCGATATCTTTATCTGTCTCTTGTGTGAATTCTTTCGAACTATTCATTGATTTAATAGCATAGTCAGTACTGTTTTGCAACGATTGTATTTCATTAGAACATTTGGACAATTGTTTCATTTCCTGATACATTTTCCCCCGAACTGTGATTTTTTCATTCTTAATATATTCTTTAGTTCTAGTTTTTCTATTTTCTAAATTAGTTTTAGCTTGTCGATGTTGTGGGGATGAAGATAATATTACTTTATCTTTCTGAATATTTTTGCTTTTCCTTTGAACTATTTGTGGCAAATCTCTAACTGCCATTTTTTGTTGTGCGTGTTCATCTTTTGTTTGTTTAGAAACAATTTGCAACGAGTTTTTACTGCTTTTAGATTCTAAGATACGTTTTCGTTCTTTATTTATACTTGAATAATTTTGGTTGGTTGTACTCTTTAAATTTATATCACACTTAGCTCTTGGCTGTTGGTCATGTTTATAGTCCCTGGAAGAAGATATATCTCTTGTATATTTTGACTTTCTTGCACCACATTCTGAGGATTTCAACATAGATGACTTATCTTTGTGTTCTTTATCAGTTGATATCACTTCTTTCGTTAGTGTTGTTTGTTGTTTCTTATCGTCAGTTTTAGAGTAACTAAACTGTTTACGTTTGCTTAAAAGGCGCGATTTATTGCTTTCACATTTATTGTCTTTAATACGTAATGGCTTAGTTTTGTCCAATATTAATAAATCGTATTTGGATGAACGATTGCTATCAGCAGTAATAGATAAATGCAATTCTTCTTTTGATTCAATAGCTTTGGAACTTGTTGAACGTGGACTCCTTACTACTGCATCGTGCTCGTCGTTGAATTTATTTTTATTGTCAGGTATTTCCATTACTTCTACTTTTTCTGGTATCGGTATATATTCAACTGCTTCCACATATTCACTATCTGAATCTTGCACAGTAATCGTCTCTTGCTTTAGAGTGGAAATATTCGTATTTTCAATTGCATCAGAGAATATTTCATCAAATTCCTTATCTATTTGTTTAGGGTTTGACACTATTTTAGATGTAGGATAGTCATTTAAAAAATCATTTTGATCAGTTTGCAGCCCAAATGATTTCTTTTCTACAAGCTTCTTTTCCAGTTTAAGTTGTTGTCCAACTGATTGTTTTGTTGTGAGACTAGACGTTTGCTGCCCTGAAGATATGGTTTCAAGGCCGATACTGTTAGAAATTTGACCTAAAAAAAAATGTTCCCATCTTTATCTATTGCTTAATTTTCTTCAATTTAAATTTCAATAAATTTAGTTAATAGAAGTTAGGCAAAGAAAAATTTATTTATTTAGCGGATTACGTACATGGATAATATACTTATAAATTCAAAAGGTATAATTTCAATAAGCCATATATACCATATAGTTGAAAAACTCTAACAAAAAATAAATTAAAACCCTTTTTTATAATTGGTATAATAAATTAAAAATTAAATTTAGAAATCCAAAAGAATCAAGTTCAAAACGTTTTCGGACTAATCAGTCAATTTTCGGTGAACGAAAAAGCAAGTAATCCCACCAAATTAATAAAAACGTTAGGTATAATTTTGATTGTTATAAGCAAATATGGGGTTAATTAATTTAAAGATTACATATATAACTGCCATTATATCTCCGAAGGAATAATGCATATGAACATCACAATGGACTACCAAAAATTAAATGTCATATCTATCTATAGCCCCGAGGACTGCAAATCTCAGGAGGAACGAGAGGCATTCTACGAACGATTGCAAACCATTCTGGATGAAATACCTCATGGAGAGCCCTTAATTCTTATGGGCGACTTTAATGCAAAAATCGGTAATGAAATAGTTCCAGGAGTAAGACAAAGATTTAATGAAAACCATGTCAACGGAAATGGAGAACCCATGAATAATCTCTGTGATTTTAACGAACTGAGAATCACTAGTACATTTTTCAACCATAAGCTCTAGTATAAATATAAATTTGAAAACTCCAGAGGGCATTAAATCTATGATTGATTTTATAGTCACTAATAAAAATATTCACCCAAAGCAAATTCTAGATATCAGAACTTTAAACTCAGCAGACGCAGGGAGTGAACATAAACTAGTAGGTACTAGCAAAGAATGAAAATAACACCAAAACAACATTTTCGACAAGAGAGAAAGAGACAAAAGAGGCTAGCACAGAAGATACAGCTGAAGCAAATAAAGGACATTGAAGATATAAACGCGAGCTGGGAGAAAATTAAATGACATACTGAAACTAAAAGATATACTGAACAAAAGAAACAACAACAATACAACATGGTACAGAAATTTCCAATCTCCTAAAATTTTGAATAACGCTGTGCCCATAACGGTTTCTTAATATTGTTCTGAAGCTATTTTTTTGTGGCATTTTAAATTAATTAATATTTAACTGGAAATAAGCCACAATTAAAGAGAAAAATACGTTTATTAACGTTTCAATTTCCTAACGATTTCCGAAGTGGAAATTGACAGAATCAACGAGCTTCTAAAACATCTAGGAGAAAGTATAATCCTAAAGATGACAAAATTTATACAAAAGCTTATATTGCACTGCAAGATACCAGACGCATGGAGAAACAGCATAATAATACCAATGTTTAAGAAAGGAGATAAAGAAGACCTGTAAGCGTCCTTCGTCCTATACGCTCATCCCCACCTCCTTGTTGCGTCCCACTCCCGTTGCCACAAGAGCAACGTGTGGGCTCGCTCTTCTGTTCCGTCAGGGCGACTCCGATCGAGGCGTTTCCTTTCTAGCACCATAAGGTGCGGGGGAACACATACCGTGATCGCCCACAGGGCTAACCGGATATTACTAACCTGTGCAAATCAAGGCAGCCTCATTTTTTACATTAAGGCTGTTTTAGCAGTTCAAGCACACTGCGATTTGAAATTAGCGTATCACTTACTTTTCTACACTGCTTACGCGAGACTATCTTTACTCAGTTGCGCCGACCGACGGGTTGTTTAATAACAAATGCATTACTCTCCATTCAAATTAGTTTTAACACGAACTAACTGACTGTACGTTCATGAGATTTGACGTCACGAAAGCGATAACGGTATAACTAAGCGACAATAATGAGTAACACGTTTTACTATTAGATTTTAGTATTTTTTAGCAATTTTCTTCAAAGTTGGAACACGCTTTTCCCCATTATTACTGGACACAGAAAGGTCAAAAAAATGAACGATTACAGAAAAAAATAATCTTTCAAGAGATGAGCGTAAAAAGTTTGGTTATAATAGAACGTTAAACAGTATAATCCAATTTTTCAACAGAAGTTTAAAAAAAATAAAAAAGTAAAACCATCATTTTAAAAGCAACATAATTTCGAATTTTGTGTCCAAATTTCGAGACATTTTGTCGGTAAATAACACTCCCTAGGTGCACCGATAAAACAGCCTTAAAATGAAGAAATTAAGTTTTTTAATATTTTAGAAGTAGGATCTTTGTGTTTATTTTATTTTTCTTTATTTTATTTTTGTTTTTCGTTATACGTAAATAAGTTTTTTATGTTTGCAATTGTAAAAAAAATGAATAAAGGGAATTTAATGGTTAATATCCTCTTCCAACTAATATCACTCGTTCTCTGTGGTACCTATGTAGGTTTCAGATGCACTATGGCAAATGTTCCCTACAGAATTTCTTTCCTGAATAGTGCTCCTTGACCAAAAAACTTTGGGAAACTCTGGTCTGAGAGATTATAAATGGAAAAGAAATTATCTATTATTTGGTGTAATGTTATGAATATGTGTTGAGAAAATTTTATGAGACGTGTAATGACAATGAAATGTTAAAAATATGAGATAAACTGTTTTAGAAATAGAGAAGAAGAGGAAGTTCATTAATGAAATATATGAAAGACTGGATGGGTTGATATTTCGTTAAAGGAATAAGTAATAATAATGGTATTGGTAATCGTAAATAGTTTCATTCCAGTGTTACCATTATTGTAAATATACACTTTAGTAATAAAAAAATCTTAGTATTTCTTCAAATAGTTATAAAGTTTGACTTACCAGAATATTGTACTAAATCAGTTTCCTTATTAACTATTGGTTCGTCTTTTTTCTTAGAAAATATTATATCATCTATGGTTTCATCTTTACGTAATTTGGTTCTTTCTAATATTAATCTATCTTCCACAACAAAACATTCATTATCATCATATTTATCATGCTCTTGTTCTTTCAAACGTTGAAGCTCTCTTGACATGATTGACAATTTGTCATTTTTATTTTGGTGTATTTTATCGGTTAAATTTACGCCTTTGACACAATCTTCATTTTTATTTAAAAGTGGACTTGATGTAGACAATTCTATTTGAGAATCACATGGTACCAAATTAACCATATTTTCGCAATGTATTTTGTCCACTTTCTCAATTAAGATTTCTTCTTTTTTAAATCTAAAGGGTATGTCTCCAAACGGCTGATTTTTATCTGAGTCGATTCTCTTTAAATCATCTATAATATCTTGGACGCCACAAATCTGTTTCTTGTTCCTGTTTTCTTTTGTCTCAATTCCTGACATATTATTTTCTTCAATATTTAAATTATTTTCCACAAACATTTGCTTTTTCAACGCTTTGGTTATTAAGTGCTTTTTAGTTTCACTATCTATAACCTTAATTCCACCTTCGCTTTTGTTAAAATGTGAATTTTTTAAATGTTTTTTTAATACCTCCTTCTTTACGTCTTCTGTAACTTTTTTTAGGCAAAAAATATCTCCTTTGGTCTTGGCGGGTTTTGTAGGTTTGTTTTCTTCTTTATCGAAGTTTATTCCTACGGTTTCTGTATCTTCTAAATCAACTTTTGTTCCATTTTCTTTATATTCGCGTTCAAATTTTTCTTTAATCTCATAATCCTGTTTTATTTTATCCTTGTCTACTCCAACAAAATTTTGTTCCATATATGTTTTCGTTAAACTTTTTTTGAAGTTCTTTTGTATTGTATATTTAGTTTCTTGTTTTTTCATGTCTTTTTCATCTTTTGTTTCTTCTTCACTCGTTATATTTGAAACATTACCTTGAAAAACTTTTGTTTTTTGCTTTGATCTCATTTCTATATCAACAATTTCTTTTTTTAGTTCTGACATTCTTTTATCCAGTTTATCTTTACCTTTATCTTCATCGATTAACCGTTCATATTTTCTTTTTTTTATGGAATTTTTTCTTTGTAATTTACTTCTATCCCTTGTTCCTCTGGTTTCTTCAGATTTTGCCCTACGTGTCTAAAAATAAAAGAACTGTTAAAATTTCTATCACAACATAAATTACAAACACAAAAAAATATTCAATAAATTTTAAGAAATTATCTTTTATTACAAAAAAAAATATGATACGAATCACGTTAAAAAGAATATTTACATGAGCTATTAACTACTGATGAGAATACAGAAGAGGTGAAATATTCACCTGCAGCACTGATGCTTAAAACACCCAATCTGATGAAAAATTTGCTATATATATATATATATATATATATATATATATATATATATATATGTATTAATTAATTTACTAATTTAAAAAGTGTATACTTACCTTACTTTGAGGCTTTTCAGAGCATGAACTACATTCACAGACTTCATCGTTCAGAACTGCTAGCTGACCATAAGCAACTTGAAGATCATGGTTCTTAAAATAATAAAGTTTGAAAAATAATTGTGTTAAATAAAACAGAGCTAATATTTTTATCGTTATATATAAGGAAAGTTGACACTAAAAATGGAGTTAATATAGTTGCTGAAAACGGAAGCGGTGATATAATTTGCCTAATATAGCAAAACCAGCAATTTCGAGCCTGTCAATCATAATATTCCCGATATACAAAAAAGGATAAAACCGATTAAACCTATTTAATGTATGAGGTGTGTATATAGCTTATATACAAATATACAGCAGCTTTCTTTTTGTTGTGATATTTGTCGATCCATGTATGTCTGCATGTGACATTTGATGATTCTGAATAGAACTTTACTAGGGTGTCAAATAAGTGAGTGAGGTGTAACACTTCCAATAAACTGATACTTTTTTACAATAGTAGAATTGATATGGAAAAAATATGAATGTCTAAATTCTCCAGCGAATTAACTATCTAACAATGTGTCACACATGGTACTCCCCATTTAAAATTTAAGGGTTGGCGTAATAGAAGGGAGGGGGTTGACAATTGACAGATATCTATATTGTTAAAAGATTTCCCCTTTGAAGTAAAATCGACCTGTTTTGTAATTTTCACAAGTTCCTAATAAATATTGCCAAATATTCAACAGGAGAAAACAAGAGCTGAAACGTCACTTACAAAAAGATTTATTAGGAAAACAGAAATGAAAATTTTGAGAAACATACGAATTTCTCTCAGAGATAGAAAAAGGAAAGAAGATACATTAAGAAAACCTGAAGTGTTAGATTTGATGCTAGTAAATAGAGTTATAGGAACAGCTGTACATCTGCCAAAATATACCCGGGGGCAGACATACATTTGGATCAGTTGTAGGTAATTTCAAAATCAAAATGAAAAAGGTTACAAGTAAGACAATGAAGAAGTATGATGTTAGAAAACTGAAAGATCCCATTGTTGGACTAAAGGCCAGTGAAAATTTCAATATAAAGATGCCAAATTGCAAAAATGCAGGAGACAAAGACGAACAAAAAACAGAACAATGTCAAGAAATAGAGCATTACTTACTAACATGAGAGCATGGTACATAAAGACCTCAACAAAGGTATTTCTTATAGCAACTAACAAAGTCATCATAGCCAGAATGATTGCCAACGTTCGGATCTGACAGGCACCCTAAGAAGAGAAGGAGTCCAGTATGTGCTGAAATGGACACGAGAATGAAGAGATAATGTTGACAGAATGGACCCAGGAAAAATCGCAAAATGGGCATAAGAGCCTAAACCTAATACAAAAAAAAACACTAAGACTTCTGAAAGGGTCGGATGACAGCTGGACATAAAAATATCTCATAACATAATGACTTTAAAAGGGTACTATTATTCGAATAAAGTCTGTGATTATTTACCAATTTGTCTAGTTTTTCTTTCTGTTCAGACGTCAGATCTAATTTAGAATAATATACATCTATAATTTTTTCTAGGTAGTCAATTCGTTTTTCTAATTGTTTTATTCTTTCGTTTTTAAAACACAAAAGTACTTCGACCATATGCTCTACAGGAACTAGTTTCCCAGGATACGGACCCTAAAATATATATATTTATTAAAACAGAATATAATATGTTAAAGCAATACCAATAGAACAATATATTTATTTATTTTTATATGTTTCACAACGTATGAAAGATTATGTATATAAAATTAGATAAATTTTGCTCACCACACGATCTTTTGCTTGGTAATCTAATATATGCTGTCTTCTTTCCTCTACAACATCACTCCAAGCTCTAAGATCTGTTGCTGATGAATATGTTTTCATACGACCCTCGGATCTTAATCGGGGAGGTTCTAAATAACTGCTACTTTCAAAGATTCTTGACCCTTTTGTAATATAAGACATATTGTTATTTAGGTGTTATTATACTTTCTAATTCAGAGTATAAAAAATAATGAAAATGATTTGTTACTAATGTCTTTGTCAGTCATTTGACAAATTATTGCCATCAATGAATTCTAATTTTGTCTAATAATAAATATCACGTTATTGGTGACGTCACGGTAAATGTGATAAAAAACTATCTATACCTATGTTCTCAGTTTGTATTTCTTCGTTTTTCATCATCTTCTTCTTCTTCTTCTGGTAGCACTACAACCCAGGGTGGGTCTTGGCTAACTGCACAACTTGCTTCCATCTCGAACGGTCGTCCATGATGTTTAAGTCGGTGGGTAGCCCCAATTGTTCTCAAATCTGACCATATATTATCTCTCCATCGCATTCGTGGACGTCCTAAGGGCCTTCTCCCTGTCGGGACTTCTTCCCAGATTAACTTGGTAAGGCGGTTATTAGGGAGCCTATGAACATGGCCAGCCCATCTTAGACGTTGGGATTTAATCTCTTGGACTACGTCGCTAGCACTATACATTTGTTTGACCTCGGCATTTGTTCTCATTTGGTATTGGTTAGTATTCGGATCGTGATAGGGACCGAAGATCTTTCTGAGGATTTTTCTATCAAAGCATCTGAGTTTACTTTCCATTGCTTTTGTCAGCGTATACGTCTCACACCCATACATGAGCACCGGTCTAATTACTGTTTTATATATCCTGATTTTTGATGTTCGTGTTAGGCTCTTGGATTTAATAGTGTTGTGGAGGCTATACATACATCTGTTTGCTGCCTGAATTCTCCCTTTTATCTCTTCCGTGATATCGTTATCTGTGGTGATAGTCGCTCCGAGATATTTAAAACTCTCCACTCTTTCAAAGTTATAGTTTCAAAGTTTTATCTACTTGTAATTATATTCTAAAGACTAATTAGTAAGTACTTGGGAGTACTGACTGATGCCAGACTCAGCTTCAAGCAGCAAGTAAAGCATGTTATTGCTAAAGCGTTAGTAATAAGAGCAGCCTTGTCACGGCTAATGCTGAATGTTCTTCTTCTTCTTAGCCTTCTCTCGTCCATGTTTGGACATAGGCCTCTCCCAACTCCTTCCATTGGTCTATATCCTGAGCAACATATTTTCAATTTGTTCCAGCTATTCTTTTAATGTCATCAACCCATCTCATCTGTGGTCTTCCTCTTGGTCGTTTACTTTCGTAAGGTCTCCAATGCTGAATGTTGGTAACCCAAAACAAAGCAGTTGATATACGAAATATCAATTTGACACCCTCACAATTCAGGAATCACGGAGGAAGGTCGCACTAGTAAATATAGTCTGAGCGCTTTAAGAGTTGCCAGCACATTCCGCACAGTATCTGAGGATGCAATATACGTCATAGCCGAGATGCTACCCGTTGGAGTGTTATCTGAAGAAAGTAAGACCACTTATCGACAACTACATTTACATTGTGACGAGATAAACTTAGAAGAAAAGACCGACAAAACAGCATTTATAGATGGCAATTACAGTGGGACTTCGCAAAAACCGGAAGTTAGACCCATTGCCTTATACCACAGATGAATGTTTGGCTAAACAGCAAACATGACGAGGTCGAATACTATCTGACATGCCCTCAGGACATAGCTGTTTTCGATAAATATCTTTATCGCTTTGAACATCACTATTCTCCAGACTGCCCATTCTGCAGATGCGGAACACGTGTTCTTGGTGTGTCCTCATTTCAACTCGCTGCGCAATACTCTGGAAGCAGTTATCAAACAGAAAATTCGACCAGAGACCATAGTAAAAGCAATGCTTTTATCGAAGGCAACTTGGGATGCAATCAGAACATTCGCGATGAAAGTCGTCCAGGATTTTGGCGGTGTTGAAAATAAGACAAGCTAAAAATAGAGACGGTTAGAAGAAGAGAAGCAATGACTTCAACAATATGAAGAAAGAGTAATAGCTAGAACCTACCCCGTGAAGTAATACCTTCGGTAGTACCATAGGGGAAACAGAGGCAGAAGAAGGTGACGGGTTTTAATCGATATTGTATTTTAATTTACGAGTCCGGTATACCAAGCTGTATATCTAATCCTGATATATCTGATCCTGAACAAATCTCGTAATGAGTGGAAATATAACTATTGACAATAATACCATACAACAAACAGACACTTACAAATATCTGGGACACGAAATCAAAATAAGCAGAGACAATCAAACACATGAAATACAGAGGCGAATAGGTCTAACATGGGCAGCATTTGGCAAATTAAGCCATATTCTAAAAAGTTCAATTCCCATGTGTCTCAAGCGAAAGGTTTATAATCAATGTGTTTTACCTGTACAAACTTATGGAGCAGAGACTTTAACACTCACGCAAAAATCTGCGGATAAACAGAGTTACACAACGAGCCATGGAACGTGCAATGCTGAACGTGAGCCTTCGAGACCACATAACAAACCAACAAATCAGGCGAAGATCAGGAGTTCAAGACGTCATCGAAAGAACCACGACGCTTAAGTGGAACTGGGCAGGGCACTTAGCCAGAACACAAGATGGACGGTGGACAAGACGTATTATGGAATGGAGGCCCAGAAATTATAAAAGAAGCCGAGGACGACCACCGACTAGATGGACCGATGACATTAAACGTGTAGCGGGAAACTGGCTACAAGCGGCCCAGTGTAGAGAACACTGGAAAGAACTGAGGGAAGCCTATGTCCAGCAGTGGACGCGATTGGCTGATTGATGATGATGATGATATCTAATCCTGATATACCTGAGAGGTAAAGGTATTTCCACCCTCCCCCCAAAACACACACACTCACCCCAGATGGACATTTTTGAAAGTTCTGTGCGCGTATAAAGATAATCTAGGAATTTTATTTAATTAATAGCTTAATAAAAAAATTCAGGAAATTACTTATCAACTAATCTGCATAAATGTATGTGTAATCTAAATCTGCCACAATCACTACAATGCCTACCATGTGTATTAAAAAGGACTGTTCACTACCAACCAATCACACAGAAGTATCCACTATCCATGTATTAAAATTAAGCTGATATTCCTAGGAAGCCGTATTATCGTAATGGTAGGTACATACATATTAGTGCAAAAAGAAAGAGAGAAGAAGACATCCAAAGAGAAAGAGAAAACATGTAAATAGAAAAAGTTTGTCGCGAAATCAGCAATATTAAACGTCAAAATAAAAAAGATGTATTTTATATCATGTCAAATAAATGCATAATTTTTGTTTACAAAAATATTCGGCAATGTTAAACCTTGCTGCACACCATTTCGAAAACAGTTTACATCATTCAAGAATTAGTATACTTTTTAAATTTATAAATTAATGCAAGTAAAAATTACAGTATGACATATGTTTCCGAAAATATCAGATTTACTTTGGACGAATCCTACATAAAACCTTTAAAAAGAAGATCGGAGGGTAGGCTTAAAGCAATTAGTTCCAATGAAGATTTAAGAAGCTGGAATTATACCGTCGAAGATAGACGACGTCATATTTTGGATGTGGTTAAAAATGATATAGAAAAAGTAAGAACTGTATTTTTATCTCTTCTCTTCTTGCAAGTTATTTGTTGTTTTTTATTTAAACTACTCCATAATACATTGAAAATCTTTCATTATTCACTTTTTTAGCTTCTTCATCATTACAAGGTTTAGTCATTTTCGGTAAAGTCTGACTGACTTAGTGTAAGTTGTGAAACTTGTCTGCTCTCATAACATTTCCAAAGTATTTAAATTATTGAAGATGAACTTTACTGGAGAGCCATTTGCTAAACTTTCTTCTTGTAGCCTCTCGTACCTGTCCGTTTCAGATGTTGGCGACCATCATTACAATCTGTATTGTGCAAACTGCTACTCTGAAAATATTTGTGGTTGTTGTGTAGAATCACGTACGTACATTTTTCAGTCAGGAAATTTTCGCCATCATTTTCCTTGATCTTCATTTTCCTTCTACTTTTCTTTGCAGAATTAATTGCAGCAACCCATATCTTTCGCTATTCCTCATGAATATTCCTCCAATTTTGGCTGTTTTTGTTGTACTTTGAAAATAAGGCTATTATCGAGCACAAGTTAATTAAATCTAGCCCAAGTACTTTCGCTTAAAATAGCATCTTCAGGGGCATCTGAAATAAGCCAAGAAAACGTTTTTTAGATGAAGTAAATTAGTTAACTTCGATAAAAAACTCGAAGTTAATGGATGAAAAAAAGTTTTTGAGATTAACGTTTTAGAATTACTTCGTCAAAATAAGAACTATCCGGCAAGCGTAGGATGTGGAAACATTAAAAATAACATAAATTGTACAAAACACTACACTAAAACGGGGACAAACAGTTTAAAATTACTTCTACGCTACATTCTCTGTCAGTTTCTGGAGGGATAATGATCTAAGCGGAAATGATACGGTGACATATGACATATGACAACTTTGATAGGCAGTCAAAGTTATGGATCTGTGATCAGCAAACATTGAAATTCTGTATAAGTTGTCATTGGCCAAAGGTCCAACTAGAACTACTACTGAAAAATCAGCTGATGACGTATGACATGTAGAATATTTTGATTTAAACTAGATTGCATAATCCAGATCTCACACTCACACCCGTCTGTAATAATAAGGTTGTAGGTTTGAGGCTAAATGAAGTGTACATAAAGTGTGAATGAAAGAAATATACCAAACGATATATTGGACAGTGGGTAGTTGACTACAATAAAATGGTCTACCTTGCACTGTCAATATTGCAAAATGAGAAGAAAATTGACTATAAAATTGAAATATTAAAATTAGATCAGAATTGAAAGCAGTGTGTAAATGGGTATAGTTCAAGTAGTTCAGTTAAACCTCAAGCCAATGGGGGAACTATAACTGGGGGGAACTATATTTAACTGAACTACTTGAACTATGCCCATTTACACACTGCTTTCAATTCTGATCTAATTTTAATATTTCAATTTTATAGTCAATTTTCTTTTCATTTTGCAATATTGACAGTGCAAGGTAGACCATTTTATTGTAGTCAACTACCCACTGTCCAATAGATCGTTTGGTCTATTTCTTTCATTCACACTTTATGTACACTTCATTTAGCCTCAAACCTACAACCTTATTATTACAGACGGGTGTGAGTGTGAGATCTGGATTATGCAATCTAGTTTAAATCAAAATATTCTACATGTCATACGTCATCAGCTGATTTTTCAGTAGTAGTTCTAGTTGGACCTTTGGCCAATGACAACTTATACAGAATTTCAATATTTGCTGATCACAGATCCATAACTTTGACTGCCTATCAAAGTTGTCATATGTCATATGTCACCGTATCATTTCCGTTTAGATCATTATCCCTCCAGAAACTGACAGAGAATGTAGCGTAGAAGTAATTTTAAACTGTTTGTCCTCGTTTTAGTGTAGTGTTTTGTACAATTTATGTTATTTTTAATGTTTCCACATCCTACGCTTGCCGGATAGTTCTTATTTTGACGAAGTAAGTCTAAAACGTTAATCTCAAAAACTTTTTTTCATCCATTAACTTCGAGTTTTTACTCGAAGTTACTCGAACATTAACTTAAAGTTAACTAATTTACTTCATCTAAAAAACGTTTTCTTGGCTTATTTCAGATGCCCCTGAAGATGCCATTTTAAGCGAAAGTACTTGGGCTAGATTTAATTAACTTGTGCTCGATAATAGCCTTATTTTCAACGTTCATTTATTCGAGCATTCAACCTCATTTCATTTGTTTTTGTTGTGGTTAACAACTCTTTTCATTTTTGCATTCTTAATAAAACGTCAAAGAAGCCTTAGTTGAAGATACAGGCATTCAAATGAACGGAATTGATGTCAACAATCTCAGATATGCAGACAACACGGTACTTATTGCCTCCAATGAAGAAGACCTGTAACGACTTATAAATAGGGTAACCGAAGCATGTGATGAATATGGGCTAAAACTTAATACTTCTAAGATAAAATTTATGGTTGTCAGCAAAACGGAGTTACAACCAACGAACATCAAAGCGTATGAAATAGAGTTATAAAGAGTCCACAATATTACCTACTTGGGCGCAAACGTTAACGATAACTGGGATATAAATAAAGAAATAAGAATACGCATTGAAAAAGCCAGAGCCGCCTTCTATAAATTAAAGAAAATTCTAATTAATAGAGATATTACGTTAAATCTTAAAATCAGATTAATACGCTGCTACATATTCTCCACATTGGTGTATGGTATGGAGAGCTGGACCCTTACAGAGACATTAATGAAAAAATTAGAGGCCTTTGAGATGTGGATTTATCGACGAGTATTGCGGATAAGTTGGGTTGATCGAATAAGAAATGAAATAGTTTTACATCGAATGAAAAAGAGCACAGAAATAACAAAAACGATAAAAATTCGGAAGTTACAATATTTCGGTCATGTAATGAGACATCCAGAGAGGTATAACCTTCTACACCTCATAATGCAGGGTAAGATCGACGGAAGGAGAGGTCCAGGCCGACGAAGAACATCCTGGCTACGAAATCTCCGAAAATGGTATCAAGAAACCACCTTTAATTTATTTAGAGCCGCCGTGAATAAGGTTACTATTGCTAGTATGATCGCCAACGTTCGATAATCGGACAGGGCACTGAAAGAAGAAGAATAAAATGTCCTGGTTACTAACGTGGTCGGTATAGGATATCTTCAGGATTTAATGATAAATTTACAAGACCACAAAACTTTAACTGTTTTGCTAACCTTTAAAATTGAATTATTTATCCGCTGGTCAGTCCACGGAAATCGTAAATTTTTCTCCAACAGAATATTTAAGTAACGTCTCTCTTTCCTCTTTTCACTTAACTTTTCACTTTTCAGTTAATTTACCTCATTTTTAGATCACATCTACGTTTTATTGCTTCCTGTAGTGAGCCTGTGTTTGTAATTAATGATCCCAGATATAAGTATGAGCTCAAAACCTCAAATTGGCCAATCGTGATGATTGTTATGTAGCCAATTCTAGTACAACACATTCTTTTGAGCATTTACATTTATATTTATATCTAGTCTCATTTTGTGTGCAGATGGCCATAAGGACCGGAATAAATCAGTCAGAGACTCTGGACCTAGTTATGATGTTAATGTAATCTGCTATACATTAACATGGATTCCCGGATTAACATCTGCTAATCCGGGACTCTCCAATTACCTTTTCTAGAGCAAGGTCAAACAAAAGACATGATAGCCCTTTACCATCAAGGATCTTGAAAAATAGTCTGGATTCTAAACATTCTCGCTACTCCTGTAAGTCTGAGTTCAGTTAGTTGAATAAGATAAAGCGATATTTGGAATCCCACCATAGCCAGGAGAAGTTTAACTAGTAACTAAGTCGTATTCGTTTTTGAAATCCACGAATATGTGGTGAATATCGACCCCAAACTCAGAACGTTTTTAAGAATCTGCCTTACTTTAAGGATTTGATCTGTTATTCACTTAATAGATCGAAAGCCGCACTGAGATCCCCCTACTATTCGCTCCGTGTAGGGGAGCATTCTTTTTTACGATACGTTGGACATGTTTTTCTTCCATATGTTTCAAAAGCCTGTCATCGCCGTTTTTAAAAAGTTTGGTAGAGAGATTATCCGAACTGGTGCTTTGTTATTTTTCAGTTTTAAAATGGCTTCCCTAATTTCTTCTTCGGTAGGCAGTAGCTGCCAATCGTTTTCATTAATTCGAATCCTGGGAGCTTCATCTCATATTTATGATTGCCATTCAGAAGTTTTTTAAAATGATTCGCTTATCTGTTAAGTATCTGTTCATTGTCACTAATTACAGAAGCATCACTCTATTAACATGCTGTTAATCTGTGTTTGAATTCTTTTCTACTGTTGTTTATCTCCTGGTATAATCTCCTTGAGTTTATCCTATTAATGGGGCTAACAATCTCGTTAAGAACGTTTTTGTCTTGCTCTTTCTTTTTTCTTCTAAATGATCTTTTTCTTCTCGTCAAAGGTTTTCATAATCTTCCAGAATTAATCTCGTTCTGCGCTGCTGGAGTCTCTTATATGATTCATTTTTTTTGCTGATAATTAAATCTACATTTCTCATCGAACTAATCTTCGTTTCTTCTGGCCTTGTTAGATTTTAAAACGCCTTTAGCGTTTTGGATGAGGGCTTATTTTAATCTAGTGAGCTCAGCGGTATACACATTAATAGGAGCATCTGCAGACATTAATCTCACACTTAATCTCAGCCCAAAGACTCTGTCACTCATCATACGGAAGCTTTTCTTCCTTGCATCAAAGGTGTCATTGACACAATCGACAAAATTCTTAAATAAAAAGGAATAAAGACAATATTTAAAAAAAAAAACTTTGAATAATCAAAGACAGTGCAGACTGCCTCCGATCTTATATAGGCCAAACCAATCGTAGAATCTAAAATAGGATTTATGAACATTCCATTTCCGTTCGCAGGTCCAATTCAATTTCAGCTCTAGGACAATACCATCTTCATACAGATCACAAAATTGATTTTAAAAACTCCAGAACTATAGCTCCATCCACCCCTATAAACCAAGAATTATCCGAGAAGCTATAGAAATTGAAAAAATTGTCTTAATATAAGAGATGACCGCAGACGGTTACCTTTCGACATGGAGACCTCTTGTAAAGAAAATATCGTCCACTCTATCCGCCAATCAAAATCTTACTGTCAGCTCTAACTATTGTGCTAATCATTGCGCCAATTCCCTAGCTAACCCCCATGAGAACCTCCACCCAAACCACCTCACCATCGACGGTATAAATGAGCCGTCCTCTGTTTCCAGTACCATTGGTTAGTGATCAGTGTAGCAGTTTCTGGGTGCTCGAGAGACTGAGACTTCGGAAGCCTTGAAGAAAACATCAAAGAGGATGTCGAAAGCTCGGCGCATACCAATTTATTTTAAATTTAATATTTTAAATTACTAAACCATAATTTTCAATTGTTTTAAAATAAATAATAATGTTTCAGTGTGGTCTACTCACAACAGCCGTACTACACGCACTTACCCTAAAATCCAAAGCAAAACTTACAAAAAGCCTTAAACAACTATGGGCTTTTATTATGTCACGAGATTTGACAGAAAAAGAAAAAGAACACTTAATGAAATTGGTAATTTGGATAAAATATTAATTAGTTAATAGACTTCTTGGTTAATAATAAATATATAAATTTTCAGCAAAAACAAATGGGATATGCATGTTCACAAGCTGTAAGTATTGATTTCCTATATATTCTCCATTAATTATACATAAGATGTTATTATACTATATATACATATTTATTATATATATATATATATATATATATATATATATATATATATATATGAAGGGGTTAGAAGCAAAAGGGTACAAGTGACAAAAATGAAAAATAGAGATATTCAATGTTAAAGTTTTTGTTTTATTGTAAAATCCAGAGAGCTATTGCATTTTTCATTTCTTCGGCAACTTAAATGTTGCAATCTCATAAATTTTGTTAGCATAAGACATTTTTTCAAAAATTTCCTGTTTTTGTTTTTTTGTGCACTTGTACCGTTTTGCTTCCAAATAAATTTAAAAAACTTGGTATTTCGGAATGTTTTATTAGTGAAAATAGCAAACTTATTTATAGTTTAGATAATAAAAATAATAATTATAAACATTCATTAATTAATCATCATAATCTGAGTCCAACAGATCCTGAACATCGCTGTTATCACCTTCACTTTCTGATGTCTGAGTTGGCAGTATATTCACATCTACCTCGGAAGTTGACGGTATATCTAACTGGGTTATATTAGCTGTTTTTCTTGCTTTCTTGCCTTTTTTACTTTCATGAGGCAAATCAATATAAAATTGATGATGGCAAGGGGGTATATAATATAATAATGTCCTTAAATTTTCATACTTTTCATATGAAATTTTTAATGCGTTCTTGTAGAGTTTTTTATTGAGGTTTTCCAATGTGAAGGTTGGTCTTCCCCTTGTTAGGTTAGAGCAACTTTCGGTATAAATTGGAGTCCAGCTTTCATTTCTGGACACCCTAAAAGAAAACTTCAAAAAGTCATTCTTTGTATAAATAAACCAGACATTTTGACGCCATCTGAATATTCGGTTTTCTTCATCTTTCTTTGGATCCTTTATGTTCTCATGAAGATATTGGAATGAGAGAAAATCGGCGTCACTCATGCAGGTGACAATGAAATTTTTACTTGTCTTTTTAATAATGTCAACCCAATCATCAGGTATAAATACTTGAGGGTATTTCTTCTTCCTTTTTTCGATTTGGCCAAACGATCTATCGCATTCCATGTATGAATGCCCACTTTCATAAAATTTGTGGTCTATTCTTTCCAGACTAGTACATTGCACCAGATACATGAACAGCTTAGCTATGTTTTTATTTTTATTTTGCCCTCCACAGGAATCAGAATAGGCAACTAGATGTTTAACTTCTGGGGGCAGCTGCTTAACATACTAAAAATTAAATAAAAAAAGTAGCATTCAACAATTTTCAAACACATATAGGAGTAATAAAATTTACCTTCACCAGACAAGAACCAATTTCTTGAGAGCCTCGTGCAGCAATTGTTTCATTCCAAGTATACATGTAAGATTTACCAGAAATGACTTCATGTATGCAAAAATTATATGTCCACAGCTGTCTGAGGTAATATACCTTATTAGTAGTGAGCAGGGGTGTGGCTAGCGTTTTTTCCAAGTCGAAGGATATTAAGCGAGTTGAGAGAGAGTGTTCTGTGCAATATTCAGTGTCTTTTTTCTTGGCAGCTACAACACTTTCTACAACTCTATGATGTACCTCCAGCTCTGTTTTACTTTGTGTAATGACTTCGCTACTGGAGCCATATCTTATTAAGTTATTCAATCGATCGCATCTATCGCATGTATCTGAATGGGGTTTATGAAATTTCAAATTAAACTCAGTACAAAAAATATGCCTATAGTATGTTTCCTTTACTGGTAATTTATTTAATTCTGAGCACCATTCAAGATAGAGGGTGTACATTTTTTTGATATTTAGATCAGTTGCTAAATATCTGGAGGCAGAATTTTCTAACCGAGAATAATGGCTCTTATATCTCGGAAACATTTTGATGTGGGATATGACGTCATCACGTCTCTCTTTACTTATTTTGTTGGATGGTGTATGTTTGCCACGTTTATCGCCTTCCAGAAATCCTTCCTTGGATAGTTTATTACACACCGTATTAAATCTGCGATTAGTTATTCCTAATAGTTTTAAATAGAATGTTTTGCAGACTCTAAAGCCCATCAGGAGAATATGGGTGACAAATTCTTTGTGATAGCGTGCCTCAGCTTTTACTCTCTTGGGAGGCACCTTCTTAATACAGGAACCAATATAATTTGTTTGTAACTCGTATGTTTGAAGTTCATAAAACTTTGTAAAAACACTTAGTGCATCATTTTCTGATATTTTCATGCAGTCGTACCTGCATTCGTGCATCCAAAACTCCATTTCCCTTTTTTTGATAGTTTTACCTGTTTTCGTTTTATATTCTTTTCCACTTATTCTTGCTTTCTTTGCCTTCATTCTTTTCCATTCGTCTTTTTTTATTTGCCTTTTTCGTGTTCTCTTGGGCGTAACTAAAAAAATGTGTGTTATTTTGTGCACCGTGAATGAAACAATATAAAAACTTTACCATGAACCGAAGCTGACGTCGCCTCAATGCTACTATTTGATACCAATATGTTAGGATTGAGATTATAGCCACCTTCCTCCTCGGATAAAGAGTCTGAAGTTAATTCATAATATTCACTATCCCCATCAGTTGCATAAGGATCCGAATCACCATCAGAATCATGGATATCAGGTTTATAGACTTGAAATCCTGCAAAATATAAAAATATTTCATGGGTAATGTTTGCAAATCAACTAAAAATTTATTTTAATGAATGTTTATAATGTTTAACAATTTGGTACTCACTTTTAGCACATCTACGTTTATTACTGCTATTGTTTTCACTCATTTTAACAAATTAAATTTACACGAGAACCGACAATATAAAACTAAAACAAAAGAATATAACCTACAACTTAACATTTACCGCCAAAGATTTTACCGCAAACGTTTGGAGGCAAAACGGTACAAGCGTGTTTGTACCATTTTGCCACCAACGTTTTCTACATTTTTATTTCTATGTAATTTCCACTAGCCAATAGATGGCACCATAGGTATTGAATTCATTTGGATTCTTATGCCACTATATAAATTGATATTTTAACTACCCAAATCTGCACATAACTAATTTCATAGAAAATATGCACTTGTACCCTTTTGCTTCTAACCCCTTCATATATATATATATATATATATTTATTATTTTTGATTCTTTTAATAGTTTGTTATTTCCTAATCGTGACTTTCAAATTAATTTTTTTATTTGAATTTACTTTGCAATTTTTCGTTTACATATAATTTAATTAATTAATAAATGTACAAAACATTATCCACTCACTGTTTGCAAGACTTATTTGTAATAGGTACCTTATTTGACTAAATAAATTATCTGTAATACTTCATTCTGGACAGCAATAATCTCCATACTGAAAGCGTTTGATATTTCAAGAAAACGGATAAGCCATGAGAGTTATGATAAACGGATGTAATGTATACAGTTATACAGTAATGCATTGGTTAGTGATCAGTGTAGTAGTGTCTGGGGGCTCGGGACACTCAGACCTCGGAGGCCATGAAGAAGACATCGAAGAGGATGTCGAAAGCTAGGTGCAATGATAATCGACGCGGTTCAACACAGAAGACTGTTGAGTTTCATATATATATATATATATATATATATATATATATATATATATATATATATGTATATATATATATATATATATATATATTTAAAATAATATATATTATACATTAATATAATTATTTTTATACTATAATCACACTTTCAGATTTCAAACAATTGCCCTTGTGAAGGAAATTATGACGTCGTATGTGCATGTGATGACGTGACTGGCGCTAAGCAACGAGATCGTATTCTAAATGTAGCGCATTCATTTGAGAGCAAAAGTGTTCCTGTTAGCCTAAGTAGAGAATTGGGTACGTTTTTTAGTATATTTATATGTAAATTTAGCGATGTAATATTTTTTATAAATAGATAAAATAATAATCACCAATAACCAAAATATAACAATTACAAAAATTTTACCTCTACGATTTTTAAATATTCGAAAAAATTTGGGGTATTTTATAACACTTTTGGCAAATACCTAGTTTCCGAATATAAATAAACGAAGGTGTTTTAACAATTTCTCCATATGATGGACTAGTTATTATGGATATAATAATACAAAGAATTTGTGAGAAACCATTTTAATTGGATAGGGTACCATGTTGGAGTTCTATTATCCAGGACTCCCACATAAAGAGCATTTGGCTGATAGGTGTGACCCTATCGCACACCAAAGTGCTATAGGAGGGAAAGGGATAGCCTGGAGTATTTAAGCGCGGTGAAGTGATTCCTGTTTATAACTTGAGTCAATACACCTTGCTCCAATGAATTGTTACACCCAAACGCAATTCTTAGGTGTGAACATGTCTCACAGGCTGAGATTTTCATCAGATATTTTCATCAAACCGGACATCTTTTACCAAACTTTAAAAATTACATGTTCCAAAAACGAACTAGTTATACAATATTAACCTGTTATTTGATTTGTTTTAGAAAATCTTAAGTGTGAATGTACCGCTTGTTCAGAACAAGCTAGAAGACAATTTCTAGCCAAAACTACTATTTGCGGTCAAAAAGGTCCCAGCGATCCCAAGAAACGAAAGATAATGAAAGCAGCTGTTTCTTCTGACAAAGACCTTTTTGCAAAAACTAGGAGACATTACGATAGACCGGATACTGCCTCATCTGATGTTCCAAGCAGTAAAAGGTCGTCTAGGCCAGATACAGTCTCAGATCGTCCTCGCAGCAGTAGAATGAGGGATACCTCATCAGTTGACGATACTGATCCAAAAATGAAAGATCCTTTGAGTACCAGTAGTGGTTCAAAACCTTCAAGTTCTCCTATGTATACTGGTTACGAAGGTAATATCTAACTTATTCAATTTTTATTACCAATAAATGCTGATATTATTAGTTCGATAATGCAGTATACTTTTGTAGATAGTCCTTACACCACTAAAATCAAAGATAAGTCTACAGCTGATGATACGGATTCAAAAATAAAAGAATTTTCCAGTTTTACTACTGATGACGATTCGAAACCTGTAAGTCCTGGAACTCCTGTGTCTTCTGGTTACCAAGGTAGTGTTACAATTATTATGTTTTTATTAATATGTAATATTAGTACAACTTAGTTAAAGACTGAAGACATACTTTTTCAGATGACCCTTACGGAAGAAAAATTAGAGATACTAGCATTCCCGTGTCTGCGGATTACAAAGGTAATGTTATAATTAATATATTAACCAACACGTTAACCGACATCTATAATAGTTAACAGCCAAAAGGACCGCTGACGCTTCTTGACCCAACATGTGGGTGAACAAAAAGGGTGTACATACAGATTGAACGAAATAAATTCGGAATATAATGTATATAATACATAGGAATATAATGTATTTCGGCTCAATTCTGCTGTAGGTGGTTGGCCAACAAAAGATTGTCAAATAATTATATTATAAAAATCCCATAATTCAGCAGGCTGCTGGATTCTGAACTCATAAAAATTGAAAGCTACACATAAATCTACGATTTTATTATGCTGTCAAACCAGTTATAGTCCAGGAAATGAAGTATTTCACCTCGCAATTTTTTCGTGCTGCGTGGATTGACTTGAAATTTAACAGAAGGTAGGTAGTAGTCTAAGGATCAAAATCTATATCGAACCAAAGTGCGCCAAAGCCTAGGGGGTGGTTGCCACCCCATCTCCGGGGTAAAATTTTTTTTTACGTTTTAACTACAGGTTTCGATTAAAAAAGTGATTCTAAACAAAAAATGTGCTATACATTTTTTTGATAAAATGATATTTTTCAAGTTATTCGCGATTGAAAGTAACAACTTTTAGACGAAAAAATCCACGTTTTTAATCGATTTTTCGCGAATAACTCGAAAATGGTGCATTTTATCAAAAAAATTGTAGAGAACAAATTTGTAGCTTTTAAAAAGACAAATACAATTCATTTTTTAAAATGTTTTTGCGATATAATAGGAACCGAAATACAGCCTATCAATGTTCAGCGGTTTTCTTCAAATGCCAAATTTGAAAGATTCAAAGTCAAATATCGGGAAAATGATGCATTTTTGGAAGAAAACTCACAAAACCTTTTTTAAAGAGCATAAATAGACCTGTCATAAAAAAAGACTCTAGCTCAAAAATTGAGTGAGTTATGATGAAAATAAGGTCAATACCTCATTTTTTACGAAAAAATCGATGAAAACAACCCCCTAACCACCCCCATAATTAAAATCGATCTTCACCCTTCTGCAATTCCCTTTGTACATATATTGTTAATACGTCCAAGAAGTTTGACCAATTTAAAATGAACAATCAGGGTTCATCGGCATGACATAAACTATAAACCAGAGGGTGAGTTGAGCTTAATTCCAAATTTTTATGCAAATTGTTCCAAAGTGAAATCATTTTCTTCGCATTACTAATTTTTTTATATTAATCTCTAATAAGGGTCGCTTTTTAAGGGTTGAAATATGATGGAACTTTATTCAAAAGCACGAAACTATCATAATTTAATTAATTCAAACCAAATTTTACCCATATTCAGGTTTAATATGTTATTTTATAATTTTTGACAATTAGGGGTAGTTTTCACCCCTAAGAACAATCAGGGTTTGTCGACATGATATAAACTATAAAGCAGCGGGTTAATTGAGCTTAAATCCAAATTTTTATCCAAATCGATCCAAGGCGAAATCATTTTTTTAGAATTAGTAATTTTTTTACATTAATCTCTAACAAGGGTTGCTTTTAAGGGTTAAAATATGATGGAACTCTATTCAAAAGTATAAAATAATCATTATTTAACTAATTCAAACTAAATCTTACCCATATTCAGGTTTAATATATTATTTTATAATTTTTGACAATTAGGGGTAGTTTTCACCCCTAAAACCGTTCAGCGCACTTCGATTCGATATAGATTTTGATCCTTGGGCTATCACCTACCTTCTGTTAAAATTTCAACTGCATACATGTAGGACGAAAAAATTGCGAGGTTTTAACTTTTTTCGAGCTTCATTTCCTGAACTATTATCGCTTCCTTAGACAAACCCGTCTTACGCAAACAACTTTGTTGCGAGACAGATAGTTGAACGATATTTTATACAATGTCTATACCCAGGTATGGATTTATTTTTGTCCAAGTTTTATATTGGTCCACTATTTCAAATGCAGTTCAAACAGACATGTATTAAATTGTATGTTCCGTTTTAATTTGGTTCAATCTGTATGTGGGAAATTATGAGTATAATTTCAGTGTATGTGGACTGTATTATATAGGGCTTGTTTAAATAAATTAGGATATGTAGTAAAGTTAAATACAGAAAAAAGCAAATTAAGTTTATACAAAGTCTTACAAATATTTTCTGCTCCACACACTGGCGGTTGTTCTTTCTACACGAAATCTGTTCGAGCACCGGTTTCTGAACACGTGTTTCGCGGCACTGATACTGAATACACGATATAGAGCACAGTTTGCGTCTGTACACGATTTAAAATAGTATTTGCCGTATGCTTTGCGTAACTGAAAGCGTCTCTTTAGCGATAGAAAACAGCCAAGAGAGCAACTGTTTTTCTCGATAAGCAAAGAGAGAGTGAGAGTAGACAGTCCTTAACGACAAGAGAGATACCTGTACCAAGCGATAGGTAACAGGGAAGAGAGAACGACTGTCCCTAGCGGTAACCGACAATCAAGAGAGTGTCTTTCTTCTTTGCTATCTTAAAACTGTCTGTATTTGTAATGGAGTGGGGTTAAAATGTGAGTAGAAAGGGTTATCTAGGATTAGACTAAGATAATGATTGCAAAATTGTGATAGAAGGATAGTTAATAATACAGCGAAAAAATGATATGATTTTTCGCATCTGAAAAAATTCAAGAGTGGGCTTAAGTAGGCACTGCTTGGGCGGTTGAGGTGTTAATTATATTTTTAGTACCACGTAATATTATTGCAAGTTAGTTAATGATTAAAGAAATATTTTTCCAGATGACCCTTATGGAAGAGATATCAGAGATACTAGCATTCGCGCGTCTTCCGGTTACAAAGGTAATGTTACAATTAGTATATTTGTATTACTACGTACATAATATTACCGCGATTTAGTTAAAGCCTATAGTCATAATTTTTCAGATGACCCGTATGGAAGAGATACAAGAGATACTAGCATTCGTGAGTCTTCCGGTTACAAAGGTAATGTTACAATTAGTATATTTGTAGTACTACGTACATAATGTTAACGACATTTCGTTAAAGACTATAGTCATACTTTTTCAGATGACCCTTATGGAAGAGATATCAGAGATACTAGCATTCGCGAGTCTTCCGGTTACAAAGGTAATGTTACAATTAGTATGTTTGTAGTACTACCTACATAATGTTAACGACATTTCGTTAAAGACTATAGTCATACTTTTTCAGATGACACCTATGGAAGAGATATCCGAGATACTAGCATTCGCGCGTCTTCCGGTTACAAAGGTAATGTTACAATTAGTATATTTGTATCACTACGTACATAATGTTAACGCGATTTAGTTAAAGACTATAGTCATACTTTTTCAGATGACCCTTATGGAAGAGATATCAGAGATACTAGCATTCGTGAGTCTTCCGGTTACAAAGGTAATGTTACAATTAGTATATTAATTTGTAGTACAGTAAAACCTCGATATAACGGACCTCCATTTAACGGACTTCGGATATAACGGACAAAAAAATCTGGTCAAATGTAAAAAAAATAAAAACATACTGTTAATAATATATATGCTTAATTCGTCCTACAGCACTGTATTTTTCGCAATCTTTACGATCAATAAAAAACTAGAGAATATTATACAAAAGTTGCGAGTCTGGAGCGTCTGTGTCTCATATATGTGATCAATACAGCAAACTTTTGGAAATAAAAATAAAAGCAAAATAAAGAAATTTGCATTAATGTGTGATATAGGAGAGCACAACAATCTCAGAAAACGAATGAAATTGGCTCGTGAAACTTCAGGAGCAATAGAAGAAACAATCTTCAAGTGGTATGGCCAACAACGTTTTAGTGGGATCATGGTCCGAGCATTCGAATTGATATCTGCTGTAACCATTTCAAAAGTTTTAGGAAATTCATTTTAAATTCGATTATTTTTTTTTTTTAATAAAACTGCTAACCCCATCTATCTGCCGGGTACTTGTAGCCGACTCAAGTTTTCTACTGTAATTCTAAACCTATCCGATAGATGAGAACGATTATTAACTTGTCAATTACACCCCAATTCAAACCGGGAAATGATAGCGTCTGTCTCTTTTCTCTTACAAACATCCAACTGTTAGGACGTATTTTTGTGAAGTGGTCTCTATATAGAGGTAAGCCAAAGAAATATGGCCTTCTTTTTTTGTCTATATTTTCAGATAAATAATTATTTTTAGACCTCTTTTACCGGGGACAATACAAGATCATTAATTATGTTTATTTAACTCGAAGTTAACTGAGAAGTCTTATGCTGTCGTAAACGCAGCCGAATAATCTCTTATAATCTAAAAAATGGACCCCTAATAACTAATTTAACGAAATATCCTTTGTGTATGGTTGCCAGCTAATGGACGATTAAGGTTGTACCTTTTCTTTTTTTATTATACCCTATCGAGAAAGCGAGAACAATTATGGACTCAGAGAAAGAAAATATAGCAGTGTTTTAAATTTTGTTTAAAGATTTAACTTTTCTATTATGCCTAATTAATAAATAACTACTATAATATTTTAAATGTAAACGAATTTCGAAATTTGGGAATAAAATATAAATTCATTTGTTTTTATCAACCAATTCTTGATTTAAAAAGATATAAAGTTGTTTTGTTTATAGTAATGTAATTATGAAATGGTATTTTAGTATCCTTTGGAAATAACATAACTTTTAATGAACTTTGAAAATAAGGCTATTATCGAGCACAAGTTAATTAAATCTAGCCCAAGTACTTTCGCTTAAGTAGCGAAAGTACTTGGGCTAGATTTAATTAACTTGTGCTCGATAATAGCCTTATTTTCAAAGTTCATTTATTCGAGCATTCAACCTCATTTCAATAACTTTTAATGTTTCTTTTTATTACTGAGAAATAATAAAGTGTAATTTCGCTGTAAATTTTTTATATATCTTATTTTTACCTCAGATATTTTCAAAAGGTTTTTCAAAGAATTTGTACCTTCAGTGAAAAAATTTCAAGAGAAGAAATTGGGAATACCACCAGAAGACGTAAAATGTTTATTACTTTTAAACAACGCTCCTGCTCACCTCTCCAAAAATATTCTACGTTTAGAAGATAGCATCTAGGTGTATGTTTTTGCCAAAAAATAAAACATTGCTTATTTGACCCAGGGATCAGGGAATAATTTTGGCAGCCAAACGAATATGATGCAGAACGTTTTTAGACGAAGTAATGGTTGTATTATACGATGGAGATAATGCAGAAGATACTAGAGGGCAGCGTACCTTGCAAAACTTAAGGTCTTACAATTTAAAATCAACAGTTTTTAATTTTGGTGCAGCATGGGAGGAGATGAAAGAGCAATTAAAAAATGATTGGAAGAATTTGTTTGATGGCCAAAATGCAGACATAGATTTAGAAGTGTTGAAAGTTATTGATTTCTGTAGGACTATACATAATAATGCCGGAGAACATGTAGCTGAGGAAGATGTTTTACATCATGACTGAAAGTGAAATAGCACATAAAGTTATAAACCTAAAAAATGAGGATGGAAGTGAAGATGGCAAACAAGACGACAAAACGTTTTCGTTGAAATGAAGTTATCAGAGGTAAGATCGCACTTCGACGATCTGCTAACATTTATTGATTATTCATCAAATAGTTAAACTTTATTCTACACATTTTCGTAATTTTAGAGAGTTGATCATAAAATAACAGCAAACATCGAAAGTGCAAACGAAATTTGTTCAAAACAGGATTACCGACAGCAAGCGCGTCGATATCCACAGCAACGTCACTTCACGACGAATGTCCGAAGAGAATTAAAGTGTACAAACATATTTTAAAAAAATGTATTTTGATTTATTTTAGACATATTTTTATATAACCGACTTTTAGCTTTAAGGGACACTCCGTCCCCCCAAGTAGTCCGTTATATCGAGGTTTTACTGTACTACTTACATAATGTTAACGCGATTTAGTTAAAGACTATAGTCATACTTTTTCAGATGACCCTTATGGAAGAGATATCAGAGATACTAGCATACCCGTGTCTTCTGATTACAAAGGTAGTGTTATATTTTAGTACTATGTAATATTAATGAGAGTAAGTTAAACACTTAAGACATACTTTTCCAGATGACCCTTACAGAAGTCAGATCAAAGATACCAGTACGCCCCTGCCTCCTGGTTACAAAGGTAATCTTGCAAAATAATTATTTTGTACTATAAATAGGATAATCATTCGAAACCAAATTGTTTACTTGTTTTTTATTGTAGTATTATGGTTACAAACGGCGATAAGTGTATGCAAGTACGCTTGATTCTCTCTTTAATTTTGATGTCATATAGAATTTTAGGATTGTCGCGAATCATTGCATGGCATTTTAGTTAGATAATCTGGCAGTTGTCAGAATCGTAATCAGCCAAATACAAAGAAATTAAATATCGGCCATATTGGTTTAATATCTCTGGTCACATATAAAAAAAATATTACTTCTGACACTTTTGTTGCAATTTGTAATAAAAACAAATCAATAGTGTTTATTGTATTTATAAAAAGTTCTGTTATTTGATTTGTATAGTTGTATAGATTGGAAGTCTCTGGAATTACATAGGGACTGTTCAGCAGTGATAATTGGACAGAACAACACATTACAAAATTAGACAGAATGTCCAGCTATTTTGAAAAAAAAAATAATCTTCTATCATATAACAGTCGCATATTCCAAGAAAATGTCGTACCGTTTTATATACATATATATAATATATATATATATATATATATATATATATATATATATATATATATATATTTCTAATATATTCTGCATGCCTTACATATGTCTTCCATTTTGCTGGTGTAACCTTAAATTTAACCACAATTATTACCTAGCAATTTTAGTACTCTTGAATTATCTGTTGTAATGCTTCTTTCCAAACACTGAAACAGTACTTTCCTTTACAGTACTTGCACACGTTATTTTCGCATCACAATATTTTTCAGAATCGGACCAAACATTCTCGATTGGGTTAAACTGCCAATGATATGGAGGCAATCTCAACACTCGATGACCATGTTGAAGTGCTAGTACATCTAATATGTAAAATAAAACAAATATATCCTTATTTATAAAATACGTCTTAATACATACTTGAAATCTGTATCTGGTAAATGTTTCTTTACAATCTCCATTAATTCAATTATTATTGTGTTTGAATAATCTATATGTGTTTTAACTTTTGTGTGTTTGGTCCAACTTGAATTTGGTATTTTTTTTCACTAAATTGGAATGGTAAGATTTATTGTCCATAATTAATAATGATGGTTTTTCTAAATTTGGCAAAAGTTGATACTCAAACCATTTTTCAAAGTATTCTGAATTCACTGAATCATGATATTCACCAGTTTTTTACTTTTTTGAAAATTAGGGTGCAAATATCAATGACACCATGCGGATAAAACGCATGCTATTCACTTCCACAATAGACAGAAACATCTGTTAGATATCGAACTATCAATATATTCTGCACAAATTGAAAAAGTTCAATGCCTTAAGTTTTTGGGTTTGTATCTTGATGAGTGTCTCAATTGGAAAAGGCAATGTGATGATATTATTTCCAAAATAAACTCAGCATGCTACCTACTTCGAAACCTCAAAGATACACTAAGTGAAAAACAGCTAATTATGCTGTATTATGCTCAGGTGGAGTCTCATTTGCGGTATGGCATAGTATTTTGGGGTACGTCTTGTAAATTCAGTGAAGTCTTTATGTCTCAAAAAAGAATAGTCCGTTGTATTGCTGGTATTTCTCGAATAACTAGCTGTAACAGTTATTTTACTGGATATAAACTTTTAACTGTGCCATGCTTATATATTTTTGAAATCTATGTTTTTATTCATTTAAATCTTAATAAATTTAAAACTAATAGTCAAATTCACAATAAAAATACAAGGCAGAATCAAAAATTGCATGTGCCTTTTTCTAAAGGAAATATGCATTTTTACTCACCTGCATAATAGGTCAAAAAATATATAATAAGTTACCTGAGCCAATAAAAAAAATGTAAGAATATGAAAATATTTAAATTAACTTTAAAAGATTTTTTATTGCAGAATACGTTTTATTCTGTTGATGAATATTTTAGTAGTTGACATTATTTTAAGTATATGCTAGAAATTTTACATTTTCTATTTGTGTTTGTCTTGTAACCTTAGGTTTAGCGTAATTTTAGATTTACGTTTATATTTAGTAATTTTGTTTTCTAAACTGTGACTGATCCTATACAAATTGTATTTGTCAAAAAGGAAATAAAGTATTATTATTATTATCCAGATTTAGCCATACGGCTCACACTCCCTCTAAGGGGAAAATTCACTCATCCCAGATACCTACGGTATCAAAAGGATTGAGCTCTGGTGGGACTCTTTCCATGTTATCGAGTCCTAGGTGACTTGGTACGTCGGTGTATCTCCTAAAAATTTTCGCACGCATCTAGACGTCGAAAGTAGCACAGCTTTCTGCATGACCTTATATAGATGTTCATTTAGACCCAGCTTTTTTATGTTTTCTAGGAGGTTCTTCGGAATGACTCCAGTGGTAGAGAGAATAATCGGTATCGTCTGGGTACTTTCCATTCTCCATTGTCTTCTTATTTGTATTTCCAGATCTCTGTACTTGGCGATCTTTTCGTTGTACTTAACACGCAGGTTATTGTTGTTAGGTATCGCCACATCGATTAGAGTTGTTTGTCTTGTTAGTTTATTAACTAGCACGAGGTCTGGTCTATTATGTGCTACAGTTTGGTCTGTGAGCACAGTACGATCCCAGTATAGCTTGTAGTTGTTATTCTCAAGCATACTCTCTGGAACGTATTGATAATATGGGAGATGGTTTGTTTGTAGAAGTCCCAGTTTAATAGCTATCTCTTGATGGAGGATCTTCCCTACTGAGTCATGCCGTTCCTTATATTCAGTTGCAGCAAATGCCTGGCAGCCTCCGGTAAGATGTTGGATCGTTTCTTGGGCTTGACATCCATATCGACATTTGTCGTTTTGGACCTGAGGGTCTTTGACAATATATTTCAGGTAATTTTTGGTTGGTATAACCTGATCCTGAATGGCGAGTAATGAACCTTCTGTTTCAGGGAACATCTTTCCTGATGTCAGCCAATAGTTCGACGCTATATTGTCGACATAGTCTTGACTGACTTCATTCGGATGTCGCCCGTGCAGAGGTTTACCCATCCAGATGCGCATTTTTTCGTTCTTAGTAAGATGGTTTATGCGCATTTCTTGTTCCCTCAGGTTGATCGGTGTTGTGTCATCTACTGCGCAAATCGCGCGATGAAGAGTAAATGTCTCCGCCTGCACCTGAAAATAAGTTCTTAAATTATTAATCTGTTTATCTAATTGTTCGCTTATATCAATAAGTCCTCGTCCTCCTAAATACCGTGGTAATGTCGTTCTTTCTACTGCACTTCGAGGATGGTGTTTTTGTGCCTTTGTGAGGTGTGTTCGTACTTTTCTCTGAAGACTTTCTATATCCGTTTTAGTCCACTTAATAATGCCAAATGAGTAGCTAAGCGCGGAAAATGCGTAGGTGTTTAATGCCTTAAACAAATTTTTACTATTAAGATGTGAGCGGAGTAGCTGTTTTACTCTTCGTATGAACTCTGATGTTAATTCGATTTTCATTTGTTTATGATCAATTTTCCGCGCTTGCTTTACTCCTAGATATTTATACATGTCATTTTCGCCCATAGCCTCGATGTTTTGGCCATTTTGCATGTCGAATCCCCCGGGCTGAACCTTTCCCTTGACTATATTTAGTACACGACATTTGTCTAACCCAAAGTGCATACTAATATCATTTGAAAAAGATTCTACAGTTTTTAGCATTTGATCTAAGTGAGTTCGAGTGGAAGCCATTAGTTTTAAATCATCCATATACAACAGATGATTAAGCTTCGCCACTACAGTGTTGTTGTTTTTAATGCTAAAACCTGAGTCAGTGGAGTTCAATAGTTGGGATAGTGGGTTCATCGCTAGACAGAACCACAAGGGACTTAGCGAGTCTCCTTGGAAGAGGCCGCGGTTAATTGCGATATTTTCCGTTTCGATATTGTTTTCACCAGGTATTTGGAGGTGAATTTTAGTCTTCCAATCTGTCATTATATGTCTTAAGAAGGTCACTATATTATCATCGACTTTATATATTCTTAATATATTTACCAGCCATTCATGCGGCACTGAGTCAAAGGCTTTCTTGTAGTCAATAAAAGCAGTGAAGAGGTTCCTTTTTTTGGTGTATGCCTGGTTAGAAATGACTGAGTCGATAATAAGTTGTTCTTTGCAACCCATGGAGCCCTTAGCGCATCCTTTCTGTTGAGGTTCTATGATATTGTTTAGAGCGCAGTGTTGATAGATACGCTGGGCTACACAGGATGTGACCAATTTATACAGAGTTGGAAGACACGTAATTGGGCGGTATTTGGCTGGATCTTGGGTGTTATTTTGATCCTTCGGTATTAAATAAGTTGTTCCCTGAGTTAGGAATGATGGTATTTCCTGCGGATTAGAAATAACACGATTAATTAATGTCGACAGGCACTCATGAGCACTCCAGAACTTCTTAAGCCAGAAGTTTTGAACACCATCTGGTCCAGGAGATTTCCAGTTATGAAGCTCTTTGATGATATTAGAGACTTCTTCTGTGGTGAAGGGTTCATAAACAGTTGTGCGGTAGTGTTGACAGCTGTGCGTCGTATCTTCTATCCATCCAGCATTATTATTATTATTATAATATCAATGATACCATCTTCAAAACTCGAATAGTGCACAATATATCGTACACCTTTTTTATTTCTCTTTTTTTTGGTAAACTGTGTACTTCAAGCACCAGCAAGCAGCGTGACTACCTCACTTGACAATAGCAAGTGCGACCTTGATGAAACGTCATTATTTATAGTCCATCAATATTCTAACTTATCTTCTCAATAATATGATATGATTATCTTCTCAAAATATTTATATAATTTTTCTTAGATGTGTCAAGAGCTCTATCAGAGAAAAGTGAAGGCCCGCATATTGATACCGCCGAGCGAGCAGTAAGTTCAACTATTTCAACTTGCAGTATAGACTGCCAATGCAGAACTGATCTTAAAACGATTGGTCTACGAACTGAACCAGGTCCTGATCTCATCAGCAGAGGAGAAGATAGTGAATCATTTTTATGCCCATGTAGAGATAAAGCTACGTGTACACCTATAAGACCCACCCGTACTGTAAAACTAGGAGTACATTCTACGCTAGATGAATCGTCAGAGCCCTACAAGAATCTTAAGAGTAAATATGCTGTAAGAATATATTACGAAACAACTTAAAAAAAAACAATATGTTTGGTAAATTTTATGGTCAACTAATATGCTCATTTTAATTTTTGTTGTGGATTATCCACGCGTTGATATCATACTACTGATTTAATTACTATTTAAACTGGGAATAAGCCACAATTAAAGATAAAAATACTTTTATTGACGTTTCAATTTCCACTTCGGAAATCGTTCTCAAAATACAAACAGTAAATTAAACAAATTTTGTTTTTTGTTACATAGTGAAAAATTCTTCTAATAATTTAATTTTATCTGACTCATTTATATTGACAATTCAGACATACATTACGCATTTTAAAGTAGACGACTTTAAAATGATATTGCCAATATTGTTGAGTTGCGCTCCTGGGACGACTTTACTTATAAGATAGTTCATTCGATTACATGAAATCAACTTTAACTTGAGAATATCCGTCAGAAAAAAATCATAGCATGTAATTCGTCTTTAAAAAGACAAACACATGACATGATGACAGTAAAATTCTCCTGTTAGTGATTCCATAGTAAATTATGAGGGAAAAACCAGGAAAAAAACCTCATAATACTATCCCGACATTGTAAGTATTTGGTCGTGAATTTAGTTTACCTTCAACAAACATCAAAATTCTGATTTTATATGTTACGTTATTTAAAAAATATAAATGATGTATCCTCTATATGTTACTGACTTACTAATACTGGTATTTTCTTATTAATAACTTCCTCTTTCAATATTGGTAACCAGATCCTACTACATTTTGCCGAGGAATTTGCGACACAATTGGCCTCATTTAGCATAATTAGAGCCGCTTCTTTGATTTTTCTTTTTTTACCATCTGTTTCTTTTAGGACTACATTTGAATTATTCCATTGAACCCTATGTTCATTATCCCATGCGTGTTTACAGATTTGAGATCTATCAAATTCCCTATTTTTAATATAAGATTGATGTTCACTTATTCTAACATTTAATGGCCTTGATGATTCACCTAAATAAAACTGATCGCATTCACAAGGTATTTTATAAATGCAATTCTTTTGTCCTTTCTTGTTCATTGTTAGGTTTGGTTTTGGACAAAATAGATCTCAACGTGTTTGTTGTTTTGAATGTTGTTGAAATGTTGAATTTATTTCCTATCCTTTTAAGTTTTTCTGATAGTCCTTTTATGTACGGTATTGTTATTTTCCTCATATTATTCCTTGTGTATGCTGTAGGATCTCGTTCTAAGTTGTTCTGTTCTATTCGATCGATTGTTGAAAATTCCTTATTTATAAACGATAAAGGATAATCATTTTTTAATAAAACAGAAGTTAACAAATGTTTCTCCTCCAAGAAACATTTGTTTTTTAAATTTTAACATTTCAACAACATTCAAAACAACAAACACGTTGAGATCTATTTTGTCCAAAACCAAACCTAACAATGAACAAGAAAGGACAAAGAATTGCATTTATAAAATACCTTGTGAATGCGATCAGTTTTATTTAGGTGAATCATCAAGGCCATTAAATGTTAGAATAAGTGAACATCAATCTTATATTAAAAATAGAGAATTTGATAGATCTCAAATCTGTAAACACGCATGGGATAATGAACATAGGGTTCAATGGAATAATTCAAATGTAGTCCTAAAAGAAACGGATGGTAAAAAAAGAAAAATCAAAGAAGCGGCTCTAATTATGCTAAATGAGGCCAATTGTGTCGCAAATTCCTCGGCAGAATGTAGTAGGATCTGCTTACCAATATTGAAAGAGGAAGTTATTAATAAGAAAATACCAGTATTAGTAAGTCAGTAACATATAGAGGATACCTACATCATTTATATTTTTTAAATAACGTAACATATAAAATCAGAATTTTGATGTTTGTTGAAGGTAAACTAAATTCACGACCAAATACTTACAATGTCGGGATAGTATTATGAGGTTTTTTTCCTGGTTTTTCCCTCATAATTTACTATGGAATCACTAACAGGAGAATTTTACTGTCATCATGTCATGTGTTTGTCTTTTTAAAGACGAATTACATGCTATGATTTTTTTCTGACTGATATTCTCAAGTTAAAGTTGATTTCATGTAATCGAATGAACTATCTTATAAGTAAAGTCGTCCCAGGAGCGCAACTCAACAATATTGGCAATATCATTTTAAAGTCGTCTACTTTAAAATGCATAATGTATGTCTGAATTGACAATATAAATGAGTCAGATAAAATTAAATTATTAGAAGAATTTTTCACTATGTAACAAAAAACAAAATTTGTTTAATTTACTGTTTGTATTTTGAGAACGATTTCCGAAGTGGAAATTGAAACGTCAATAAACGTATTTTTATCTTTAATTGTGGCTTATTCCCAGTTTAATAGTAATTAATTTACAATGCCACAAGAAAATAGCTTCAGAACAATATACTACTGATTTATTTAGAACGATTATTATCTCTTCTTCTACGATTATGGAACTTGTAGTTCTTTTAACATTTCAATGCGTTTAGAACTTTTAGGAATAAATTTATATACACACCCTTACAAAAGGTAACTTTTTTGTAAAATTTATTTTTAAAAGATATTATTCATAACCATCACACAATAATATTTAAGTTACCGATCATTTAGCCCTTGCAGTTATAACTTTTTGTTTTTATAGATAAAAATTTTTTAATGTGCACTATGAAATAATTGATTTTTTTAAAGATTTTTTGTAACAAAAAAAAAAAAATAAAATATCTTAGTTGACAGCTGGCATAAAAAATGTGCTACCCGTAGTACACTGTGAGCCAAAGGTAAAAAAAATAATTTAAGCATGTTTTATTTGGATGTATTAAAATTTCTTTTACATTACTTTGAGTGGTACAATAAAAAATTTTGTTTTTTTTATACATAGATGTACTTTATATTTAATTGTGCTTTTTACAGCACATTTTGGCAATTTACACCTGGTTTGGGAATGTGTAGGTTTATCGTCAAAGTCAGGAAAGTTTCCTACACCATCTAATCGAACTTCTCTGATAGGTCCATATTTTTGACACCATTTTTTGATAGTTGGAGGACATGAACTGGGAGAATTATCAGTTAAAGATGATCTTCCAACCCTCTTACCCATTTGTTTACATTATATAGGGGCTTCTGCAATAAACAAACGAAAATTAAATAGGTCAAAAGTATCTTTTTGGGCTATATTGAGGAACTTTGCTTCTTGTCGATATTCCAGCCATGCGTTACAGCAAAATTAAGTTCTGTAGTAACATAAAACGAAGTCGTAAAGTAAACCGGAACTTCCACACAAGGCATACAATTTTATACCCCATGGATACGGCTTGCCTTTTATATATTGCTTAAGGCTTATCTGTCTCTTCAACGGAACATAATTTTTCGTCAATACATAATTTTGTTTATTTTGTCGTAAAGAATTCTAACTTTAAAAAATTTATCAGTGTCATTTGGTTCATTGGCATCAGTAGAATGTAGATAAGTTCGTAATTTTGAAAATCTGTTGTATGCCATATTATTTTTAACAACATTTACAGCTGTTCCAATAAAGTCTTATACCAGGATAACTTAGGTTTCCCATAATAATATGAATACCCATAAATCCTTTTATTTCGTTGATATTTGTATTCTCAAAGCGTATATTATTTGGCTGGTAATAATGATTGTGTTTATTCCCATAGTATCAAACAAGGTGTCATTAAAATTTTTATAAAAATAATCTATTGGTGATTTTAGGTGTTTAATATTTGCTTCTGTTTTTTGTGCCCATTGTATAGTAGTGGGCGTTATGTATTTTACATCTTCTCGCCACGTTATTTTGCTTTTTCCGTTAAATCATGTGTCTTCAAAAACTCCTCCATTAACTGTTTACGCCCTAGTTTGCTAGTATAGATATTGAGAAGAAGTATCATCGTTGTTGACAACATGGGATGCTGAGCTTTGCAAAGTGACACTTTCAGAAAATTCTGCCTCCAAATAATTTACTTAACTTATCTCTCTCTTGTCGTTTCCTCATTGCTGAGGATCGTGATTCCCTACAATGCGGGCTGTCAATTCTCTCCATCTCTTCCGATTTTGGGCTGCTCTCATGGACTCGGAAAACGTCTCTCCAGTGGCTTTCTGTACTTGATTTGACCATCGGATAGGTGAGCGTCCTCGGCCTCTACATCCTTCTACGTTTCCGCACACAATTAGTCTTTCTAAGTTGTCATTGTCTCTTCTCGCAATGTGGCCAAAAAACTTTAAAACATTTGCAAGACACTGAGAGGAGAGTCTGGTCTGAATGTTTAGCTCTTCGAGAATCGACTGATTGGATCTGTGCTCCGTCCACGAGACGCGTAGCATTCGTCTCCAGCACCACGTTTCGAATGCGTCAATCCTTTTCCTATCCTCTGATTTTATTGTCCATGTTTCGGCACCGTAACTAAAGATTGAAAAAACGAGTGTCCGTACCAGTCTCATTTTGAGTTTTTTGGACAAAGAGCGGTCCTTTCATATTTTTGACAGTCGACTCATCGCGTTCTTGGCCATTCCTATTCTTCTGCGAATTTCCGTATGGCAGGAGGCTGCATTGCTTAAGGAAGATCCTAGATACGTGAACTCGTCTACTTTCTCGAATTGATTTAGGGCGCCTGTTGTTTGGAGGATATTCGCGTGGTCCACAATCATGATTTTTGTTTTCTGATTATTAATATTGAGCCCACACTTGTTGCTTTCGGTTTCTAGTCTCTTTATCAGTCTCGACATCTTCTCTTCAGATGTTGCTATCAGTGTTGTATCGTCTGCGAATCTTAAGCTTGAGATATTTTTCCCTGCAATGGAGATGCCGCCTCTCCATCCATCAAGTGCGTTCCTCATTATGTATTCTCCATATAAATTGAACAGGTCTGGAGATAGTATGCAGCCTTGTCGTACACCTCTGCTGGTTTTGAAGGTATCAGATTGCTGGTTTTCAATTCTTATTTTAACTGAGTTATCTTCGTATAAGTTTTTAATTAATATTGCCAAATGATCTGGAACTCCCATCTCATGAAGAACTGTCCAGAGAACTTCCCACTTTCCACACAATCAAATGCCTTTTGGTAGTCTAGAAAACAGATTATTATTGGAATATTGGATTAGAATTGGAACTTAACTTATCAGATAAGCAAAAATAACTAGTTGATGGTCTTACCGATTATTCTGTCGTCTCTCTGGAGATCTTCGAACGACAATATCTCGTCAGTCTCTTCATCACAGAACTCTTCCACATCAGAAAGTCCAGCCTCTATCAACTCATATAGTACTTTTTCACTCACTGGCTTATTTTTGTTATATTTACTCATTTTTAAAAGAAAATATCTGCAAAAAATTAAAAAAAGTAAGTAGCTGAGGTTAATCTTTGAATCAAATTGTACTAGTAGTAGTACAACTTAAATATCCCTTATGTCATCATGTACTATCCGTAGTACATTGAAATACGTTGTGTTTACGATAAAAAAATGTATTGGTTAATAATTAATATTTAAGTCAATAAAACAAAGTATAAACTTGTAACAAAAATTACTTGTCAATCGTTTTTACTGCAAAAAATGTCTTTTGAAAATTAGGAAATAAAGAAAGCAACCGTTTCTCAGGACACGAGGTTGTCAACTGGTACTAAAACTTTTAGAGCTACAGACGTCGATATTGGCTACCATTTTACTAAATGGGTAAATTTGCTATTAAGCTATAGATGGCACCTCGCAGCATAAATCGTTCATTTAGCATTAAAAAAGTGCACTTCTATTCGGTGTACTATATTTAGTACGCCCTAAGCGAAAGGGTTAATGATCTTTTATACTAATATTAATAGAAGAAATCTAAAGTTTTTCAAAATAAACATTTATTTTAAATTGTTTAAATAAATGAATCGGTTAAATAAATAATTTACAAATTAATTAATGCCATTTTTCTTCTAGTAACGACATATCCCAAATTTAAAAAAATACATCAATTTTCGTTGATAAGAACCGAAGATATTGCGATTTTTATATATTTAGATTTATAAATTCAGTTGTAAGATATCTGTATTGAAGAGTGTCACGGCAAAGGCTTTTTATTTGCTTATTTCTCTGGTCTATAGAGAAGCTTGTTATAATTCACTTATCTACGTTGCTATGTGCTTTATCGAATATAATTTCCCAGTAAGAATTATGTTGCATTTGGAGTCAGACTTTTTCTGGTTGAGGAGCGTGCTTTTTGGTACTCTTACGGCTTACTCTAGATCACTCATCCGCTTCTGACAAGTTCATTTGCTTCTAGGCAAACTATTTACCAAAATGAGAATGTACTGATGTATCAAAAAGATTCCAAATGTACAACTTTCTAAGAACACCCTGTATAATATTACCTACATAATAAATTATTCTAGGTCCCTAGCTCGTGTCGGAAGAGATTTGATTTCAAAATTCATATACAATCTCTTTGTATTATCTTTAAAAGTACAATGAATTTACGGGCGCCATTCTTAATAATTTACCATACATTTGCCTTACATTGTATTTAGATACTGCACAATTTTATCAAATGAATGTATGAATGATGTAGTCTTAGGCAAAGAAAATTATCGTAACAATATATCTTTATGTTTAAGGAACTGGAATGTGTATGCAAAGAGCAGCAGGAAAATATACGGAATATAATAAGAGAGCGGGATATGCTTCAGCAAAAGTACCAAAAAAGTCTTTCAGTAAGTATTATATTATTTAAATGTTGTTGACTAATTGTCCAATCGTGAAAGTGCAAAACAAATATTTGTCTTTTTTTTTTAAACAATTCTGCCTCTCGCACTTCCGATGAAGCCAACAATCAGTTGGCAAAATATTAAGTGACAAGAAAATATGATTGTTTTAATTCCAGACCCACAGAACCTGACATATACTTACACTTATAAATTACGATTAAATACAAATTTTGGCCCACCTTTTCTCGAACATTTTCTGTAGATTAGACCAGATATTCTTAAGATGGGTGACGCGGTACTCTGGGGTGCCTCAAGCATTTCCCAAGGGTAACTGAATGTGGAGTCCAGCTCATCCAAGTTCTTCTTCCACAATTCGTGGAAAGGAGGTTTCTTACCAAAAAGCAATTCGGGGAAAAATAAGAAGGTATAATCCTAGCTATCTCACGTAATATGGCTTTATTCAAGTTGGCAACGAACAGGAACTAGAAGGCCAATGCGTAAATTATAACAAAATTGTTGCTAATGGGTGCTTCGTTCCATCTAAATTAAAAATATATTAGGAAAGTTATCATCCTGGTTTAGCCGATAAGGCCGAATAAACCTCCACACCTCATAGACACAAGTAGAACAGCGAGTCCAGCAACGTCGCTACTTTCATTAAGCTGTAAACTGAAGAATTCATAGGTTTTTAATCTATTTATGAGCTCTCTCTCTCTGTACAAAGTCTGAAATAGTGTGAATTCTCTTGCTTATAGTGTTGTTTAACATCTGCAAATTATTAATCTTTTTGGTCATATCTGGACTAAATATGCATTGTACGACATCCTTCACGCAAGGTTTAATCAGTTCCTCGGCATTGGTATTGGGTTTTCAAGGCACTTCAAGGGTTGGCGTGCCTCGAAATATTTTTAGCCCTACAAGAGTGTCGCGACTAAAAAAGTTTGCGAACCATTGGATTAGACAATACTTTAAGGCCGTTCCTTGCGTTTCTGGGCATACCTAAGTTCCAATGTAAAAGTTTATATCAAATAACGTAAAAACTATGGCAGATATTGAGATGATTCTTTTTTTATATGAAAGGTCTTAAAAAGTTCTAGTGCACTATTTGGTTGTAAATTAATAAATTGTTTAAACAATATTTTTTTTTCAAATATTTTTGGTTAAAATAAACGTAAAAAATTTTTTTTTGAAATAGGGCACTACAGAATTTGACCCACTTTCCGAATCTGTTTTTATTTTTAACATAAAGTGTTAACACAAAGCAGCTATTTGGTATAAACTTTTTTTTAAATCTCAAATTTTGCTAAATGTAACTTTCTCTCTCGGCCAGTACAGGCTGTCCTTGTCGATAGTTTTTGGATTCTTGCCGACACGGTTAGGTTGGTTAGGTAAGAAGTATAATACCCTCTCGAAGGTGGGTCATAAATAATGTTGAATAACATTATTAGGGTTTATTTCGACTTTTGACCACCTTTTGACAAACCAATGTGTTAATTGTTTTTAAAATGGGTAGTTCACGAAGACGTTTATGTCCGATTGAGGAAATTTTATATAAATAAGCAGTACCTATAATAAGTAACTATAATTTGATTACATTTTTATATGAATAGAAATATTTTTTGTTGATTTGTTTCTAAATGTTTATACTGTTTTTATAATAATACTATTGTTTCAGTATTTGCTTATATAATAATAATTTATTATGTAGAAACAGCGTAGAATTTTGGTCAATCAGCCAGTACATTTTTTTGTATTTCAATCAGAATTATTATTTTCTTTTCTTCTTTACATAAAAGCTTAGAGTAATACTCAAATAATTTGCAGTATTTGAATACGGAAATTGATTATTTATATTTATTGGACAATACCCAAATATTTTGCTGTATTTGAATATGGAATTTGATTATTTATATTTATAGGAATATTTATTTTCAACGTTTTTGTTAGTAAAGTTTACATAATATATGAAGTTTGTTTCTTCACTTGCTTGTCCAGCCATATTAGTCTAGGCTAATAAGGATTTTCTCGTGACACTCAATAATCCAGGTAGCTGACAACTTTTTTAGTTATTGTAGACCTATAAGAAGAAAACCTACCTGTTTCCTGCGTAAAGTTCGGAGCCGTTTTTTAATGATTAACAATTAATGCAAAAAACGCGATTCTTTCGAATTTTGCACTCTATTATTTATTTATTTATTTTTACGCACAACAGGTTGTTAAGGCCTAGAGCATTTTTTTTACAACATAATTCTAATATTAACTAATTACAATTATTTTAAACAAAACTTTAACTTAAATATGTATATATAACATTCTTAACTACTCTGAAGGACCTGGTGTACAATATTTTTCCATTCGCTTCTATTTTGTGCTTTTTTTTCCATTCCCTCACCTTCACGCGTTTAAGGTCTTCCTCCGCTTTACTAATCCACCTCGTTCTGGGTCTACCTCTTCTTTTGGGGCCGATTAATTTTCTGGTTATTACTAGTTTAGGAATTCTGTTTGCTGCCATTCTTTCCACATGTCCCAACCATCTGATTCTTTGTGCCTTGACGAACTTGGTAATAGTAGGTTCTTTGTATAAAGCCATTAATTCATTGTTGGTTCTTCTCTCCCAACCATCTTCTGCCTTCCGTCCTCTGAATAGGCATCTCAATATTTTCCTTTCCCATCTTTCCAGAGTATCCTCTTCCTTCTTATTTAATGTTCAGGCTCACCGGCATATGTTACTGTGGGTCGAATTACTGTTTTATATATTCTGAGTTTACCTTGTCTAGAAACGTATTTTGAGTTCAGTAGAGCTCTTAAACCACCTAATTTTTTATTCCCTTTTGCTATTCTGGCTACGAGCTCCCATTTCTCTTTTCCATTTTCATCGAAAATTACACCTAGGTATTCAAATTTGTCCACCCTTTTAAAACTATAGCTTTTACCACTTACTGACCTCACACTAAAGTCTTCTTTTTTCCCTTCTGTTCCTTCCATGATCATATATTTAGTTTTGTCTTCATTTAGTTCCAATCCAAATTTCTGTGCTTCTTCGATAATTTTCAAAAAATGTACCTATAATATGATATAATCCTTATAAAATGTCTTCCGACGTTCATTTTTCATTCAATTCGGTTGTTCCATTGTTCTTTAAGTTCTTCCATCCGTGTTTTCTAAGGTAATCCTCTCTTCTGGATTACGGTAGGTGTTCATAGAGGTACTTGTTTCGGGAGTCTACTGTCTTTCATTCATTGGACATGTCCGTACCATTTGAGATGCCTTCATTGTATGCCATCCATGACTGTACCTTCTATTCTCATTATTCCATTCTATTATTGTTGAGTCTTCAATATGTAGTTGACAATGTAGATTTTGTTGATTGTCTATGTTGTAACCTCCTTCAATATCGTGTATATAATATATTATATAAATATATATAATATGATATAATAACAATGTACCTATACTCGTAATATGATATAATCCGTATAAAACGTCTTCCGACGTCCATTTTTCATTGAATTCGGTTATTCCATTGTTCTTTAAGTACTTTCGAGCTCATTGAGTTTTTTATTCCTTCCATCCGTGTTTTCTACGGTAGTCCTCTCTTCTGGATTCCTGTAGTTGTTCATAGAGGTACTTGTTTCGGGAGTCTACTGTCTTTCATTCATTGGACATGTCCGTACCATTTGAGATGCCTTCATTGTATGCCATCCATGACTGTACCTTCTATTCTCATACTTTATTGCATCCATTTCAGCGACATATCTTTCTTCGATGTCTCTGTTAATCGTCTCGTTTCACAACCGTGTAAATAAAAGCATGCCTTTTACCATAGTTTCATGGGTTCTAGTGCTAGAGAGAGCATGTCAGCTGAGCCAAAACGAAAAATAATCCTCCTGATTGCTTCCACTAGAATAAACTTGGTTGTTTAACTGGGCCCGGACTACCTTCTTCTAATTCTTTAAACTCCTGTTTTAAAACTAATAATAATTATTATTTTGTCTAATTACCTATTTAGTTATCAAGACAGATACATTGTTACCTAAAGAAGTGAAAGTGGTTCAATTTAGAAATTATATCGTAAATAATAAATATTTGAAAACTAATGCATATATTCCTCCCGCGATTTGAGCTACTAATTTTATAAATCGCACCACTAATCCCTTCATTTTAATTTCATGAATGTTTTTATTCGCCACATCTCAACATTTTCCATTTCAGAATATTTATCATCAAACTGTAATATACGTTAAAAGCCAATTTGTCAGCAAAAAAACAATAACAAAAGAAAATATAAGACATAAAAAAAACCAATACACTTATATCTTGTTATACATTATTTTGTTATAAAATTTTATAAAAGTTTGTCTTCGATTTAATTGTTATGAATTCTTTACAGGACGATTATTTGTTACCTGTATGTACCCTTGCTAAGTTGTGAATTAATTATTCAATAAATAATATTACTCGTATTATTCTAATTACCCCATAATCGCAATGAATAGAAGACCTCCCGCTCGCTTTATTGTATACACCCAAGACTTCACAATAGGGGGTTGTAAGTAGGTAAAAATATAAAATTTAGTACCAGATGACGTTTAGAATATTCTTCGTGAATGGATTTTGTTTTCGTAAAGAAAGATATTTTTGAAATAGATAGCTCACTGAATTTTACCGTTAGGATTATCGAGGATAGGCCTTAAGCCTTAAAACTCTTTATTTTTTCTAGAAACCAATAGATTCCAGCAAAGATATAGAAGATCTGGAAAAACAACTTTCTGAAGCTACTCCTGAAATTGAAGCTAGCATGATCAAAAACGAATTAGAAATTTTACGGCAATACTGTTTAAAACTTAAAGCAGCAGAGGAAGAAAATGAAATACTTAAAAGAGAGAAAATGGAATCAAAACGTCAAGGAAAACCGAGACTTCGAGATAGTAAGGCTTCTGGTGTTGGAGTATCAGAGTTAGATGACGTGGTAATCATTCTTTTCTATTATTTTTCTTAATAATAATTTATTTGATAGGAATATGATACTATTATCTTTTTTTTTAATTTAATTACCTTTTGATTGCTGTAGAGGTATATTGTAAGTTTTATTTCAGGTTTAATTTTATATACCTTTATTTTTGTCTATAATTGAAGCTACAATTAGAATGCAGTGTTGGTTTTATGGCACACAGCGATGCTGCTCACGTTGGCACAGCGGTAGGTGTGTGGTAGTTTGACGATAGACGGAGAAATCAGGACGGTACGCGCAAATTTCTGTATGGGTATGCAAGTCTCTTTCTACGGCGTGATTACTATTGTGTAAGTGTGCATTCAGTGGCAGTAGTTAAGTATCTAGTACTACAAGAGTAAAATGATTTGAGATTCCAGGAACCTCAAAGTCTTGATGAAGAATCCAGATAGAGAGTACAAAGCCCGAGATGATCCAACTAAGAAACTCAGTTTACTATTAGTTTTTGAAATAATATTGTTTTATTCTAAAGTTAGTTATACACTCACCGACACGAAAAACGTAGCATTTGCATTTTTAAAATAACGACACAACGACGTAACACAAACGAAACAAACTGTTTTAAATTAAATTAGGTACTATTTAACTGGAAATAAGCCACAATTAAAGATAAAAATACGTGTATTGACGTTTCAATTTCTACTTCGGAAATCGTTCTCAAAATACAAACAGTAAATTGACTCTTTGTATTTTGAGAACGATTTCCGAAGTGGAAATTGAAACGTCAATAAACGTATTTTTATCTTTAATTGTGGATTATTCTCAGTTAAATAGTAATTAATTTAAAATGCCACAAGAAAATAGCTTCAGAACAATATTAAGAAACTGTTTTAAGTAATTTATAAAAAAAATTTAACTTTTGAACATAAAACTGTTTCAGTACATAACAATTTAAAAATTAAGAAAAAAACTTATTAAATATTATAATAAAATGATGCTCAATTAATAAAAACTTAAAGCATATGCCCGGACACTGATTTTAATAATTAATGTTTCCTCCAAGTGCTCGAATTATTGCCTGAATTCTCCCTGGCATGCCTAAAATCAAATGAGAAATGTCCTGTTGAGGAATAAATTACCATTCTTCTAAAAGGGCTTCCTGTAACTGATTTAAGGTTAAAGGGGCATGAACACGACTTCGTATCCTTCTCCCAAGCATATCCCAAACATGTTCGATTGGGTTTGCGTCTGAACTTAATGCTGGCCAATCCATTACAGGAATGTTTACTTCATTTAAAAACTGTTGAGTGATTCTTGCACTGTGAGGCTTGGCATTATCATGCATCAGAACAAAGTCATTTCCAACAGAACTAGCATAAGGTACAACAACATCTTGGTAGACTACTCTAGAACTGAAGGTACATTCTGCAAAACGCTCATGTGGTCTTCGCCATACTCTCTCACGGCCATCTGGAGACCGCAAGGTAAACCTGGACTCATCAGTAAATAAAACATGCCTCCAATTATTTACAGTAAAATGAGCATGGATTCTGGCAAACTGAAGCTGCGTAGCTCGATGTCGCCTGAAAAGTTGTAGGCCTGTTGCAGGCCTGCGACTGCTTAAATTTGCTTCTCCAAGCCTTCGTTTAATTATTCGTTCACTTACGATAGTATTTTGGACGTACTGAAGTTGATTTCGAATTTGTACAGCCGTGGCACGACGATCTCGTAGACTTTGTAAGAGGGTAAAGCGATCATCACGGGCACTAGTTCTTCGTAGGGGACCAGTTCCAGGTTGTCTAGTGTAAGTTTGGGTTGCCAAGAAACGTGTAAGAATACGGTGCACAATATTATTGGATATTTGATACTTTTGAGCAACATATCGCTCACTTCTTCCGTCTTGAAGCAACGCAACAATAGCAACCGCTGTTTCGGGATTTATAACCGTAATTCTTAAAATTAACTCAACGCAATTCAACTTCAAAGTGTGTCTGACACTTGATTAGACTTGACAGTTTACTCACATCAACAAGAACAAAAGAATAGCAATAGAATACCAACAGTTAGGTGTGCACTTTTGAAAATGATAAAAATAGTGTATTCTTTATTTTCGATTTTTTATGCATTTTTTTCGGATAAACACTTAATTTTTATTAGAAATTACTTTAAACAGTTTGTTTTGTTTGTGTTTACGTTATTATAATAATAAAAGTTTAAAGATAATTAAAATTTTCAGATTTTATTTTAAAAATGCAAGTGCTCCGTTTTTCTTGCCGGTGAGTGTATATTATTTTTTACTTTTTTAAGCTAATATTCATTCTAACAAATATTATTATTTATATATAATAAATACTATATAAGCACGTTGTGTGTGCGATCGGTTTTATTTTTGATTCTGGATTTAATCCATTAGCAACAAAGTTAATTATTTTGTTTCTGTTTTTATAGAACAAAGATGAGTGCGAAGCTTGCAATAGTTTAAAAATGAAAATAAAAACGCTGGAAAGAAGATTAGCCCAATGTTCTAACACCATTCCAGAAGATTTCGAAATTTTTAAAAATCAATCATTATTGGATAACGCTTTAGCAGAAAGAGACGAAATGCAAAAGAAAATTGAAAGAATACACGAATTGGAATCCCAACTCGATGAATATAAGAAGAAGGCTGCAAGAACTGAAGATTTAGAAAACCAGTTAATACGAGTACAGAGAGAAAAGACTTCAAATTATGATTTACGAAAAGTCCAATCAAAATGTGTATGTGTCCAACGAGAGCTAGAAAATGTCAAAGCTGAGAGAGATGCAATCCTAAAAAGATTAGGTATAAACTGAACACATAATAAGATAACTTATTGTCATCACAATAAGTTCAACGAGTATTTTGTCCGGACCTGTGGTCTTACCATTCTTAGACTGTTTTAAAGCTGCTTTAACCTCACTTTCTAGTATTAACGGCACTGTCGCAATTTATTTCTGGAAGGTTACCCCGGTAGTCCCAGAAAAGTTCATCGATGTACATTTTCCAGGTCACCAACTTCTCCTTAACTGCCAGGTTCCCGTCTTTGTTTATGAGGAGGTGTATGTTTCTCTTGTATTGACTAGTGGCTTCTCGAATCTTTCGGTGGATATTTATATGATCGTGTTTTACTTGGAGCTCTTCGATTAGTTTAAAATTTTCTTACATCATGTCTCCTTGGCTCTTCGTATTTCTTTTTTATTTGTGTGGTTGATTTCTTGGTATTTCTTTCGTCTCTTTTTTCCATTAATCTCCTTTGGTCCATCATCTGTAGAATGTCATCCGTCATCCATTCTTTATTTTTTACTCTGTTCTTGTTGTTTAGCGGTTTCTAGTTTTTCTTTCATTACATTTCTTGCTTCTGATGAACTAGGGGGTTTTTTAAAGTGTCGTAATCCAGGTTCTGTTTAAGTTTATTTTTGATGAGTTTCTTTAGTTGAGCTCTATCTGGCCCACTAATGGGTTATGGTCCGATGAGACGTCTGCTCCTGGGAAGATCTTCGCCAAAGTTAAGCTGTTCTTGAATCTTTTGCTAATGAGAATAAAGTCTATCTGGTTTTTGATGATATTGTAGGCTCTATCTGCAGGTGACTTCGACGTATAAAGTCGTCTCGGGGAAGTCTAAACCAGGTATTAGCAATGGTAAAATCTTCTTCACGACAAAATTTGTAAATCGGTCTCCCCTTTCGTTTTTCTTGCCAAAGCCGTGTTGTACGACGATGTCTTCTATTCTGCTTTTGCCAATTTGGGCATTGAAGTCACCCCTGATGATGGTAAGCTAGTTTTTCTTAGTATATTGCTTTTTGTATAAATGCGTAGAATTCCTCGATATCCTCTTCTGGCTTTTCTGATGTTAGAGTGTAAATTTAAATGATATTCGTATTAACTGGTCTGAGAATATTTAGTCTTTTCAATTCTTGAATGGTGTTGTATATCTTTCCCCCTTCAAACATACTTCGAACATTCCAAGTACAGATTTTTTGAACGTTCTACCTGCACAATTTTCTCTATTAGTGTTTAAATGTTGGTAAGGATTTCGTGGATTGACGACCTGGGAAGACTTACATTTTCGTGTTCTTCCTCCCCTGCCTGATCTTGGTATCCGAAGTCCATGATCAGTACCTTCTCCAAATTGGTTTTCATTCACTATGATGAATGAACTAGGGACTATTTATGGGGTGGTTTCCCGTTGCCTTCCCCATCACAGTCTCACAGCCGTTTGACTCATAATGCGAGTGGCTCCTGTGAATATCTAGAATTAAGCCTACAGGTTTTTATTTACCTTCCCACAGCCTTAATCTAGTAATGACATTACTGCTGCCTAATGCCATGTCCTCAGTTGATTCGCGAGTACTTATTTCTTCTTCTTGCAGTACCGTCTCCTATCGGAGGTTGGCTACAACTGTGTTGAACTGCACCCATACCACTCCCTTAAATTTTGCAAGCAGGAAATCCTCCTACGTCCCACATTTCTCTTTCCCGAGATTTTTCCTTGGATTATAAGTCTAAGCAGAGAGTACTCTTCTCCTCTCATTACGTAGCCCAGATATTCCAGTTTTTTCGTTTGAATGGTTTTTATGACTTCGTATTCCTTCCCCATCTTCAGCAGAACATCTTGATTTGTTACTCTTTCTGTCCATGGTATTTTCCATATTCTCCTGTAACACCACATCTCGAATGCCTTAATGTTTTTCATGTTTATCTTTTTCAGTGTCCAGGCTTCCATGCACCTTAACATTCTCGATCTTAAGTTTATATTTGTGTCCCGGCTGCATAGGAACTTTTTCATTTTGACAAACGATTGTCTCGCTGTCTCTATTTGCCTCTTGATTTCTCTTGTCACTTATTTGGCTATGCCTTATTCGTACCTGTCCTGCATATCTGCAGGAACTTTCCCTATCAGCCATTGGGATGCGCCGTGTCGGTATTGAGGACTTCTCCGTCTAATCTGTCTTACGTAAAGTACTGAAGAGCCCCCACTCAATTCAAAGCCTTCTCCTCCTCCACGTAAGTTGACACCAGCCATTTTCTCTGTTCAATAATACAATTTATCAATTATCACTAATGACGGTCTGAGACCCGAAAACTGTTAAAAATTTTGTAACTATTTTGGATATTTTCATTATTAATTTAATATACCAAATACATTAGGTGTCAATTGTTCGAAGGCTAACAAAACTTGGTTGTAATCAAATATTTAATTAAAATCAAATACGTCACATTTTGGGTTATGTTGACTAATTTATTTTATTCAATTTTATTATTTTGCGTTTTAACTTAAAAAAACCATAATTAAACTCATTTTGGTGTTAATTTCATGTTTTTATTTACAAATCAATAATAATAAGCAATTTTAATAATTTTGACAACTGCTGTGACGTACTTGATTGTAATTATATATTTGATTACAATCAAGTTTTGATTAGCATTCGAACAATCGGCCCTAGAACTTTTACACTTCCTTGTCAGTTTTTTATAGATCAAATACACTTTTCAAGAGGTTTTTGAACGGTTCGTATTTATAGTGATTATTATTTTTCAAATGTTAAATACAATATTTTAATTATTATACATTGTAGATCTCATGAAAGAGGAAATGGAACGTTTACGAGCGAAGGCAAAGGAAGCCGAAGTACTTCTCATAGAACGGGATAAACTCCAAATAAAAGTTAACGGCATGTCGCATGTTCAAAACCACAACGAAAATTTAAGACTTAAATGTAAATGTCTCGAAAATGCTGCCAACGAACGAGATATGTACAAACAAAAATATGAGGAGCAATTAAATGTGGATAATCAAGTAGAAGTGGAAGATAGCACAAAATTAAAACGGGATAAAGAATTGCTAAAAAAACAAGTTGGCGATTTACAGTCTTGTATAGTGGAACAAGATAGTGAAATTAAAAGATTAATGGAACAAATTGATTCGTTGATTAAAAACAAAGAAGAAGTTCAGGTAAGTAGTAATTTGGATAACTAAATTTGGACCACTACATGGTCACAGCCATTATAAGACAAAAAGTTAAAATTGAAACAAAACAAAAAAACCAACATAAAAAGTGGAATGTCAATAAATTGAGCAATGAAGAAGTAAGAAAAAAATATGAAGAGGCAGTAACAGTTCAAATAAAAGAGAAATATAAAGCAGAAGATATAAGCACAGAATGGGAGACGATCAAAAAATCAATAGAAGAAGGTGCAAATATGCAGATAGGTAAAAGTCAGGCTAAAACAAAAAACGAATGGTATAACCAAGAATGTAGAGAAATAACAGGAAAAAAGTGCAAGCCAGAAATAAATGGCTAAGAACAGATAAAGAGGAAGACAGAGAAGAATATGAAAAATTAAGAAGGAATGCTAAGAAAGTGATAAGGCAAAATAAAAGAAGATGGGTAGACAAAAAAATGCAGGAAATAGAGCAGGAAAGAATAAACAGAAATACGAAAAGTTTTTACAAAAAGATTAAAGAACAAAACAAAAAATACAAGGGCAAAACAAACGGAATAAAAAATAGAGAGGGAATAGTGATAATAGAGGACCAAGAATACAAGCAAGTATGGAGAGATTACTACAGAGAGCTCTTGACGGAGGAAACAACAGAAGAAGAAATGCATGACGAGGAGGAAACAGTACACGAAGAAGAAGCAAATAAAGTAGACATCGATATTTCAAAAGAACTAACATTAGAGGAATTGGATGAAGTTATACAGAGAAGCAAAAATGGAAAAGCCCCAGGTAAAGATGGAATTAATATGGAACTAATAAAATACGGGGGAAGGGAACTAAGAGGAAAAATACTGGCACTATTGAAAAATATATGGAAAGAAGAGAAAATGCCAGGTGACTGGGAGGTAGGACAGATCATAACAGTACATAAAAAGGGAGACCAACAAATCTGTGAAAATTATAGAGGAATAACATTACTAAATACAACATATAAAATATTGACATCAATAATAAAAAAGAGGTTATCAAAGATCACAAAGAAGACAGTAGGACAGTACCAATGTGGATTCACAGAAGGAAGATCTACAATAGATGCAATACACACAATAAAACAAATAATGGAAAAACCAAACGAGTATAAATTAGAACTGGAAATGTTATTCATAGACTTCAAACAGGCATTTGATTCTATTAAAAGGAACGTATTAATGATAGCACTTAAAAAATTAAAAATTCCACATAAACTCAGAAAATTATAAGAAATGACAATGAGAACTACAAAAATAAGCATAAAGACACAAAGAGGAGAGACAGAGGAATTCAGTATAAATAAAGGGATGAAACAAGGAGATGCCTTATCAACAACGCTATTTAATCTAGCATTAGAATATGTACTGCGAAATATAAATAAAGGAAATCTCAGAACAAGAGGTGGTCAAATAATTGCATATGCAGATGATATTGCTATTATTGCAAAGAACAGAAAAATAATGAAAGAAATGCTTGAAGAAATAAGAGAGAAAGGGGAGGTAATGGGGCTAAGATTAAATCAAGAAAAGACAAAAATATTAAGATTAGGGAAAAAACCAATAAAGGAAAAAATCAAAATAGGAAGTTCCGAGTTTGAAGAAGTAGAATACTTCAAATACCTAGGAGTTACAATAAGTAAATCCGGAGAAAGGAAATCCGAAATAAAAGAAAAAATATTAGCAGCGAATAAAGCTTATTTTGCAAACAAAAGATTACTTAAAAGCAAAACACTGACTAAAAAAAGCAAGATGAGCATTTATAACACCATAATTAGACCAATATTATTATATGCAGGGGAAACAATGACGATGGTTAAAAAAGATGAAGAAGACTTAAGAATTGTAGAGAGAAAGATTATGAGAACCATACTAGGACCAATCAGAATAGAGCAAAATGAATATAGAAGCAGAACAAATGCAGAAATTAAGGAAGAACTTAAGGAAGACATCGTAACTAAAATAAAGCAATGCACCGTTAGATGGTTAGGTCACATTTGGCGAACAGGCGATGAGGCAGTGACATACGCAATGATAGAATGGAATCCAGGAGGAAGAAAGAGAAGGGGAAGACCGAGATCAAAGTGGCTGCAAGAAGTTGAAGAAGACCTCCAAAGGGCAGGAGTCAGTGAATGGAGAGGAAAAACTAGAGACAGGAAAAAATGGAGAGATATTGTCAAGAAGATAAGATAAACAAAAAAAAAAGACTGATTCACTTAAGAAATAGGATCTAGAAAGCATTTGCGGTTTAACCCCACGCTGGGGTGTATAGCCATTATATATATATATATATATATAAAACTCATTCATATTTTCATTATAAAAAGTTTTGTACAGGTGATTTACTGGTCAGAATAACATTAACAGCAGAAGAAATCGGAGAGACTTGCAAAAATGTTTTAAATATAGAAAATTCGAGAAGAAGAGGAAGAGCTAAAATACTTACATGAAGCAGATATACTTCATATAAATATATGATACTTGATATTACTTTATCGTGTCCGGACATGTTATTCATATAACATTAGTCCAGTATTGGGCTACGTTGGTTCTATATTTGTTGGCGAGCTACAAATCTTCGAGAGTACACATATCGACTGGTCCAACGAAGACTGTAGTAACTCAAATTTTCCACTTTTTGAGTTACGAGCGCAAAACAATAAAACATAATGATATCTTCCCCAGGAAAGAATCGTATCTCAGTAAACGTAGTTATGCAACCAATATTACGTGTAAGAGTTTTATAGTGTCTCCGATTTATGAAAAACAACGGTAGAAAATCATCATATCTTGAGTTACAATAGTCTTCGTTGTTATCTGAGGCGATAGCATAGGTATCGTAACATGAGTTACTACGGTATTCTGCGTTAGTTTAAGGTTATGTTCAAAAGTTTAGTTTTGTTATAATTGCCATAATGTGTTCCAGAAGTGAGTTAATATTGGAATTAGCTGAGAAAACGTATAAAAACACTGAAACGAATATTTCTTATCGTTCTTTTGAAGGTAAATTTATAATAAACTTTATTTAAAATAATAACAGCAAAGTAAAAACCTACTTATTTTTTAAGGTAAACATATTGCTGAAATTATTGTAGAAGAAAGCAAATACAAAAATGCGAATGAGGATCCTGGTGACCACGAGACTGATATTAATCCTGAATGTTCTTCAGGTTGGTTTAAATTCCGCATGAAAAAATATTACGTAGGCATTTACCTCATTTTTGTTTAATTTTAGTAAGCTTAGAAGAGAATGAAGCCAATAGGAATGAAAATGAAATAATTGAGAAAGAAAGCGATCAGGAACCATTTCATGCAGACTCTGATACTGACCCAGATTACATTCCGACAGAAGACAAAAACATCCCTGAAGTAATAATTGAACCTAATAAGAATATAACTGAAGCAACCACAAATAGAAAGAGAAGAAGCAGAGGCAATATAGAGAGTGTAAGTAGGAAAAGAATTAGAGACGTTAGTAAGTGGGCGAATGAAAAATCTAAAACAAGTCTAAACCTGGGACTTGAACATGAAAATCGAAAAGACTTTTTTTTCAAATGAATTTTGGAAGTTAAAAGATCATACGAGAAAGTGGGATTTTATTGCTCGTCATGTGAGACAGTTTGCCAAAAAACAAGTAACTATTACTGCAGAACAACGGTCTCGAAGAAATTACTCTCGAGAATATTACTTCTACATTCGCAATGAAAAACAACGTGTTTGCAAAACTATGTTTTTGGTAACCCTTAACGTTTCAGAAATGGATCACTAATGGATCACTACAGCATTAAGAAAACTGAAAGATGATGGATCATTAGAGGAAGATAAACGTGGAAAGCACACTAACAGACCACATAAACTATCACCAGAACTTATAGACAACGTAAAAAATCACATAAATCAGTTTCTTGTAGTACCTTCCCATTATATCCGTAAGAATACGATGAAGATGTACCTTGAAGAAGGGCTAACTATCCAGAAAATGTACCGATTGTACAACGAGCATTGCGAAAAAATGGCTATTGATGCTGAAAAAGCAAAATTGCTCGAACAATATGAGTCCGATATGAAAAACAAAGACGTTATCAGAAACTTAAAAGACATAGACAAACAGCTTGCACTAGATGATAAGAGCTTGTGTGTGGCTTGCTTTGACCTTCAAAAGGTTTTAGCTACCCCTTTGTCTAACGTAAGTGATTTTTACTACAAAAGCAAATACTCTACATATAACTTTACAGTTTATGATGTTGGAAATAATCAGGGTTACTGCTATGTATGGCACGAGCAGGTGGCTAAAAGAGGTCCTAATGAAATTGCCAGTTGCCTCTGGAAATTTTTAGATCTCAAGGCACAACAAAGTGTTAAAACGATAATATTCTACTCAGACAACTGTAGGGGACAAAATAGGAATCGTTTTGTGTTTTCGATGTTTGCTTTTGCTTCTGCTCATTTTCATATTGATATTGTTCACAGATTTCTGGAAAAAGGCCACACTCAGAACGAGGGTGACAGTATGCATGCTGTTATCGAAAATGCAAAGAAAAGGCAATCGGTTGTATATGTGCCAGAACAGTGGGTTACATTAATTAGAATGGCTAAAACTACAGGAAGAGTTTATGATGTTACGGAAATGTCCCAAGATATTTTTTTTTTAATTTTAAAAAACTGACTGATACCGAGGATTGGAAACTTGACAACGAAAAGAAATCAATAAAAGTTAGCAAAATACGAGAAATAAAATTTTCGCATGAACACCAAAATTCTATAATGTTTAAATACGAATTCGATGATGGTTTTAGAGTTTGTGACATAAAATCAAATCGAAAATGCAGAGGACGGCCTTCCACTACTATCAAATTTCCACCGAAACTGTATGATGCACCATTACCAATTGAAGAAAAAAAAGCTAAAAGGATTACTGTGGTTGTGTAATACCGGCAAAATACCCACAATGTACCATGGATTTTATAAAAATCTTAATTCAAAG